CCGGCGGAGCGGAAAAACGGCGACTTTGCGGCTCTCCGGCGGCTGTCACCCGATGAAGAGGAGCTAGATGGAGGTGGGGCGTGTGTCAGGGAGCTTCATCCTTAGGTCCGCGCAGCAAGAGGAGGCTCTTCATTGCATCTGGTATGCTCTCAAGAGGTGGCGACTCGTCTCTCGGCGGATTGTCCTCTTCCCGGCGACGGCTTGTTTGTTGATCAATCAGAGATACTTTACTCGATGGATTCATGATCCTTTTATTGTGAATCGTTCAGTAATTTTAGTAACAATGCTCCGCGAATCGCATTGACGAGATTCTTGCCGATGATCTAGCAATTTTGGTTGCTTAATCCTTCATTGGCGATCTGTAGGAAAGTTGCGATAATCAGATAAAAAAATATGAGTTTTGGCTCTAAGAGGATTCAAACCCATGCTAGTTGCCCGCCCTTTCTGGGGAAGGTGACGCAGGTTAAGTCCCACATCGGTTGTGCACCAAAGTTTCTGGCGAATATAAAGTAATATTACATTTCCGATCAAGTCCCTTTCTTGCGTATATACGACCACTCCTTGCCCCATAGTCAGCTGGCCACCGGTGACGTGGAAGGGGAGTGGCGCACATGTGCCCCCATCGGTTCAAGCCGCTCGAGCCCCTGCTCGCGGCTCTTGCCTGACTACGCTTCCGACCCACTTGTGGGCCCAGCTGGTCGGCAGGTCCCCCCCATTTTGTTCTATTTTTATTTTTATTTCTTTTCCTTCATTTATCTCAAAAGTAAGATTGTAAAAATCGTATAAAATCACATAATTACCCAAAAATTCACGTTAATCAACTGAAAACCACTTTTCACACTTTAACACAAATATAAGTCTATTTATCATGAGTTAAGGCTAAAACTATATTATTTACTAATTATTAACTCATGATAATGAAGACTTATCAATCCCCATCTAGCTATAGGGTCAACTATCAAGTGCTCATTGGCTAGTGGGTCCCCCCTCCCTTTTTAATATTTTTTATTTATTTTATTGTGCTTTATTTTAATTTAAAACCCTGAATATAAAAATCATATAAAATGATATAATTAACCACAAATTAACATTAGTCATGTAAAAACTATCTTTTTCAATTTAAGTCAAATATAAGGTTATTTATCATGAGTTAATATATAAAACATATCCTTAAACTAACCATTAACCCTTGATACTATAGACGTATTATGTATCTTTCTCATTCTTTGTTTTTTTTCCAAAGTCATCCTCTATTCAGAAGGATTCTAAAATCTTACATAATACCACTTTCCCTATGCATCAACAAGAATTTACTATACATTTTGAATAGAATTTCAATAGCATACTTCAACGATCTGGATTTTATACGTATTAAAATTGGTCACCTCTTAAAACAATGATAAGGGACACATCACTAGTATACTTCAAATATATGTTTCATTCAAGGCAATTTAGATTTAATTTGAACTCAAACTCATTGTTTTATTTTTGAATTGTATCTACATTTATATTTTAGAGTCAACAATCTTTAGCAAGTATGCCAAAATTGATAACATTGACTACATATGTTAATGGGTTAATGTCTACATTATCTAAACCCATAAAAGATAAAATGTGAATGTTATCAATTTTTCACTTTTTAACTATTTTTCACATTTTAAAAATTACAGAATAACATAAAATAGTTAAAGACAATGATTCTAATTCTCTATAAATCTCTCTTTTTCAATGAAAAAGTATCTCAATTGATAATTGTTAATTGCTTTACATATTTGAATCACATTCTAACAATACTATAGAGTATTTAAATGAAAATTTGAGCAGAATTTTTGGCTTACTCCAATAACAAAAAGACAATGAATTGAGGAGTAATTGTTGATCAAAAACTATTTCTCTTTAACCATAATACAGTGACAACATTTGCAATCTAGAGATTGATTATAACATTGGAATCCTTGTACCTAAAACGCTGAATCTTGGAGGTGAGGAGGCACTAGAAGCCAAGAAATTAGTTTTCTTGGCAAAGTGGAGTAGACAAGGGGTTGAGAAACTAAAAATTTCCTAGTGTCTACAAGATCTAGAACTAGGAGATTATATGGAATCAAAGATTAGTGTAAGTCAAGAGACATTAGAATAATATAAGCAGCAAGAACACCAACTACTCAATCTTCATCTTAATTTATCATTACATTTGAACAACCCAAAAATCCTAATGACACTTAAATTTGCTTGCACAAAATCATCCACAATTTCTACACACTTACCTCATCTTGTGTTGTAGGAAATTGCAGCTCAACTTCAATAAAAATCATATTCTCAAGTCTGTTGTATATCATCACCATCTAACTTAAGATTGATAGTCCTCTCCTAGTCACTTTTGATTCAAATTGCTTACATCTTTTGGGGTTTGATGATTTAATGTTAATTATCTCATAAATTTAAAATAAGAATTTTTTAAAAAAATATTTTAATACTCTAACTCAAGAATCAAGATGTAAATCTTTAGATCTAGATTTATTTGTTATTTAAATATATTTTTCATGCCTCAAATGAAAAAAGTAAATTTCAGAACAGTGAACTAACTTAGAAGAAAATCTGAGAGGAGAAAAAGTGGGTCAACTATGTTGATAAGTCTTCACTATCATGAGTTAATAGTTAACTAATAATATAGTTTTAGCCTTAACTCATGATAAATAGATTTATATTTATGTTAAATTGTGAAAAATGATTTTTAATTAGTTAATTTAAATTTTTAATTAATTATGTGATTTTATGTGAATTTATAAAATTTTTATAATCTAATTTTTTAAATAAATGAAAACTAATAAAATAAAATAAAAAGATAGAAAAAGAAGAGAACCCACTAGCGAGTGAAGCCTACAAGCAGGTCGAAACCATAGTCAGACAAAGACAAGAGCAGGGGGCTTGACTGACTAAGGATGGACAATTAGGAGACATGTGTGCATCACTCCCCTTTCATGTCACCGATGGCCAGTCAAGTATGGGGCAAAGAGTTGTCGTACATATGCGAGAGAGATGCTTATTGATCATAAAATCTTCTATTATTATATATTCACCTCAAAACTCCTAGAATAACAAATGTGAGACTAAAAAGGTTTTCACCAATTTTAATATCTAAAATACCCCTTATTTATGAGAACGAGATACCTTTATGACATCACTTTATAAGGGTATTCGAGTACTTATTTTACTCTCTCTCATACAAGTTGATGACCAGTGAGGATTCAAATCATATTAGAGTCAAAACTCATATTTTTATTCAATTAAATTATAATTTTTCTATAGATTACTATTGAACGATTAAGCTGTCATAATCACTCAATTATTGGTAAAAATATCGTCAATACGATCCACAAAGTATTGTTACTAAAGTTATTGAACGATTCTAGATAAAAGAATCATGAATCTATCAAGTAAATCATCTCTGATTGATCAACAAACAAGCTATTGTCGAGAAGAGGACAATCTGCTAAGAGATGAGTCACCACATTCTAAGAGCATATTGGATGCAATGAAGAGATTCATCTTACTATACAAACCTAAGGATGAAGCTTCTTAAGACATGCCCCACCTCCATCCAACTTATCCCTATCATGTGACAACTGTCGAAAATCCGTAAAGTCACTATTTTTCTACTCTCCTAGGTGACAACTGTCGAAGACAATTCGTCAACCCACTTTATTGATTTCAATACTTCATAAGAAAATCTAGAGATTGGTCACCTCGTCTATATTCAAAGAGAGCATTTGAGGTCATGGAGATTGTCTTAGTCCTCTCGAATACTCAAGATTCTGATGCATCATCACTGCAACATCAAAACTTTGTTTTACCTTTTTTAACTAGTTTAACTTTCACTATCATTTTCTTAACTTTGACATGAGATCCAACAAATGCTCAAGTCGTCTATGTCTAAAGAGAGCCATTAAGGCTGTGGAAATCGTATGATAACCATCTTGAACATAGAAAATTCTAGTTATTGTTGTCACAAGATTGAAACTCTGCCTTTCTTGATTTCAACATAAGTTTTACTTAATTTAGTGACACTGTGTAATTTCAAGTTTCAAAACTCTTCTTCATTAAATTACGATTCTTTTCGCTTTTATAGATCTTAATTTGACAAACAAAATCGCTTATGTAAGAATCATTAAGTGAAACACTATTTTCACCCAATTCACATTCGTTAGAGTACTAACATCATCCTGACACCCACACCCTATTTCTATTTTTTCACGAGTTTAAATATATTTTATTTTTATTACATAATCTAAAAAATTATACAAAATCATATTATTTGTATAAAATTTTGAAATATTATCCAATATTATATTGCATATCTATGATTGACCTAGAAAATTGTCACTATTTTTAAAACTTTTATTGAATTATAATTGATATATTTGTTCAAAAATACTTACTCAATATCTAAAAATTAATATCTTTAGTTTTTAAAATATTTAAATTTGTGTGATTTATTATATAGTTTAGAGGGTTCTATGAATAGGCAATGATCACACATACCAATAGATTTTGTTAGAAAAATTTCTTTTGGAGTTGTTTGGGTTGAAGGTGGACAATGAAGTTGTCTAATTCTAGTTCAAAAGATGAAATTGATTGATATGTGAGATTTTTTCTTTCAATGTGATGACATGAGGTAAAGAGGTAACAGCTTCTATAGATTTTTTGCATTGATTGTTGGTAGCCTAATGATAGCTCTTCATTATCATGAGGTAATAATTAGTAAATAATATAGTTTTAGTCTTAACTCATGATAAATAGACTTATATTTGTGTTAAAGTGTGAAAAGTGATTTTTAGTTGATTAACGTGATTTTTTGGATAATTATGTGATTTTATACGAATTTATATGATTTTTACAGTCTTACTTTTGAGATAAATGAAGAAAAAGAAATTAAAATAAAAATAAAACAAAATGAGGGGAACCTGCCAGGCCCGCAAGCGGGTCAAAAGCGCAGTCGAGGATTAGCAGCGAGTAGGGGCTCGAGCAGCTTGGACTGATAGGGGCACGTGTGCGCCACTCCCCTTCCACGTCACTGGTGGCCAACCGGTTGTGGGGCAAGGAGTGGTCATACACGCACGAGAAAAGGACTTGCTTTCAAATGTAACATTACTATATATTCACCCAAAACTTTGGCACACAAGTGATGTGGGATTAAACCCACATCACACCTTCCCCAGAAAGGGACGGGCGATCGGCGCGGGTTCGAATCCTCCTAGAGCCAAAACTTATATTTCTTATTTGATTATCACGACTTTCCTACAGATCGTCGGTGAAGGATTAAGTAACCAAAATCACTAGATCATCGGCGAAAATCTCGTCAACGCGATTCGTGGAGTATTGTTACTTAAATTGCTGAACAATTCGCGATAAAAGGATCGTGAATCCATCGAGTAAAGCATCTCTAATTGATCGACGAAAAAGCTGTCGTCAAAAAGAAGACGATCTGCCAAGAGATGAGTCGCCACCTCCTGAGAGCATACCAGATGCAATGAAGAGCCTCCTCTTGTTGCGGGGACCTAAGGATGAAGCTCCCTAACACGCGCCCCACCTCCATCCAGCTCCTCTCCATTGGGTGACAGCCGCCGAGGAATCACAAAGTTGCCGTTTTTCTGCTCCGCCGAGTGACAGCCGCCGAAGACGATTCGACGACCTATTTTATTGATCTCTAGACTTCACAATGAGATCTAGAGATTGCTCATGTCGTCCTTGTCTAAGGAGAGCCTTCGAGGCTGTGGATACTACACGATGATCCTCCCGAATGCTTAGGATTCTGGTGCATCGCCGCCGCGATGCTAGAACTTTATTTTCTAGCTTTCAACTTAATTTTTGCTTTATTTAGTGATAAATTGTGTGATTTAAATTTACCAAGATATACTTCATTCAATTATGATTCTTCTGGTTTTTACAGATCTTAATTTGATCAATTAAATCATCTGTAATCGCTTACGTAAGAATTATTAGGCGGAACTCTGTTTCTACTCGATTCACGTTCATCGGGAGCTGACATCATCTTGACATCTGCACCCTTATTTCCCTTTTTCGTAAATTTTAAATCTATTTTCTTTTTATTTTCTAGTATAAAGTTCATAGAAAATAGTATTCTTTGAAGAAAATTCTTTCTGATTTTCTAGACTTATTTCAGCAATTATATTTTCACGCATTGTGCAACTCATAACAAAATCAAATAAATTTCTTTCAAAAAATTTGGCTCAGAGTCATCTTTTTCTGACTTTCTACAATCAATGAACCTATGTTTTGTTATTGTTGAGTAACACTGGGTGATGATATTTTCTTAAGTTTTTCCTCAAATGTTTTGTCCTTTTTATCAAGTACATTCCTAAAATTTTCATTTTCTTCTTCTAAGCTCTCAACTAGTGCTTTCTGATATTTACATTTATTTTTAGATTTAAATTAGATTCTTTTAGTGTCTAATTTTCTATTGTGTAAAAATTAATCCATGTCTAAGATTTCTCAAAGCATGCAATAGTTTATCACGGTCATCATACAATTTTCTTTAGATAAAGGCAACATGCTAAGATTCTATACCTGCAAAAAAAAATGCCCTTAGACAAATCTTCTTTTTCTTCTTCTTCATCAGAGCTAGAGTCACCTTCAGTTCATGTTGCTACCATTGTAATATGCAATCAACTTTCAAATGGCCTAGCTTCTTACACTCAAAACAAAGATCATCAGATTTTTCAGAAAACTTTTTTATTCCTTTTATGGCCATGATGTTTTTTCTTCCTTTCTAACATATTCAGTTTTCTAGATAGAAATGTAATATTATCTTCATTATTAGATGATTCAACAGATTTAAAAGCAATGTCATTATTTTCTATTCTGAAAAACCTTTGTTTTTGGACATGTTAATTTCATGAGTCAGTAACTAGCCAATAATATCATCAACATGAATTACGTTAAAATCTTTTAATTCTTAAACTGCTGTCACTTGAGCACACCATTCATCAATTAATGATCTAAATAATTTACTTTTCAACTCACCAATAGTAAAAACTTTTCTTAAGTTTCTCATGTCATTGGTGATTCATCAAAGTTATGAATAAATTTTTAATTAACTGACTATTTTCCATTCGAAATAGTTCATACCTATTTACCAAAATATCAAAAGCATTCATAATGCTAAGTAAATTATTCATTGTCTTAGCATTTAAATTCATTTTTACTCATCCATAAAGATGTACCTTGCAGTCCATCTTGAATCATTTTTCATGTTTTTAACGCTTGACCCATTACATAAATCCTAACATTAATTTTCTAAAAAATATAATTGGTTCCATCAAACATGAGTGGTATGGGGTTGGATGATTCAGTTGTCTCACTAGCCATAGGATGTACTCATTGAGATTTTTTGATATCACATTTTCTGTTCAAGTCTGATCCGTATAATCACATTTTAATTGACTTTTTCTCCATGCAAGCTGTTGACGTGTCACCATCAAGATGATGAGTTCAAGACATTCTATTATTTCTTTTAACTCTTTTGATGACTCACCTATTAGAAAATATAGAAAAGTTTCTATATGTATTTATGAAGACTAGATACTGCATGTCATGGTGAGATTAAATATATCAATAGAAATAATATCATGATCACGAGTTACCCATACCCATTTAACCATGTATGTCTTTTTATCAAAGGGTGATCCATCACTTGATATTGATTGGTGATCAGGTGTTCCTAACATGAAAAACCTTTTAATCTCAATGACACCTTAGATTTCATTATTAGTAATAGGATGAAGAAAATTGAAGTATAATCTTTAGTGTAATTGTATTGAACACATTGAGTATTTGATATAGATTCATGTCATATATAAATAATAGTCTAATAAATAAATTTTAGTTTGTAATCTCAAAACTAAGGGCATCAATAATAAATCCAATAATCATCACTAATGTTAAATGAATCATTCCCATGGATTGCTTATCCAATAAATCTCAATCTTCTTGTGTGACATCCTTTATAGCTTCAAATCCAGCAAGGACTGATGGAGTTTTTTATAGCATAGATAATTCTCAATTGCATCTTTTGCGAAATCAAAAACCTTGCTACAGAACTTGTTAATCTTAAATTCTTCTTCTACAGCCACATCTCTCATAATTTCTCCCAAAACGAACACAACTAGACTAGGGTTCTCAAATGAAACATCCTCAAACCAGAGGCTCTGATACTAGTTATTACACAATGAACATTCCTCATTCAGCATAAACGAGTTCAAACATGGGAGATAGATGTCAGAAGGGAAGGAGACAAACCAGATTAGCATGATTTTGAGAATCCCTCTATTGATTTAGCAGCTCAGTGGAAGAAGAAACTATTGGAACCCCACCACGGGACTGCCCATCAGGCTTTAGGATGGGTGTCCTTGAGTCTTTAAATCTCTCCATGTCATAGGAGAAGAAAGTGGTGAGACTAGCAGGATGAAGTAAATATAGAGAAGAAGAAGAAAGTTGAATGGATTGGGGTTGGGAAAGAAATGTGGTAGCAACTCAGTGGTCAAGCATAGGTTTAGACCATAGAAAAGGGAGAAGAATCAACTCTCAACAAAAGTCTACATGGTTTGGGGGTCAGCATCTTACGTCTATGAGCAACAATGAAAGTTAATCTAAATGAGATAAGAATATAGGAGAACTTTCAGCAAAAACCTAAGGAACAAATCACTGATCTTAGCCATTAATGCACTTACCCAACACAACAAGAGATTTCCCCTTAGAACCTCTCCAAAGCTCTCTATAATGCGATGTGTCAAATGAAAGAGCGGCCCCCCTGTTTACAGTCACTTTGGGGATGATCTTAGGAAACGTGCCCAGAAAGCTAGTTCGCCCACACAAGGCTGTTTCTATGAAAAACAGTCAACGAAAACATTTCCATCTTTGTTAGTCTAAACCGGCCCACACCAAGGATGATCTTCCAAAGTTTAGAACTCATGAAAAAGATGAAAAATTTATCCGAACTTGGAATCTTCAATTCTACCACTCAGAATGTAGTACGGTTATATGGAAAATGACCTGAACGGTCCATTCAAGAAATGCAGTAACAATGTGAACCAGTGCCCTCTCTATGTCAGCAGTATACAAATCATAGAGCATCGTCCAGAGGGAAGAAGGAGAAAAAGAAATAAAATGATGCACGTCTGGACCGTGCTAGCAAGAGCTCTGAACTGAGACATGAGGAAATCCGGCTGTCTGGCTCCCCAAAAACCAGAACTGAAAGCCCATCTATCGTCAAAAACTGCCGGCCCTCAATGGTGGTTGGCAAACCAGCGAATGCATCTTCTAGGGTGAATAGAACCTGTCTGCGCAAGCCAGATAGAGAATCTAGGGTTCCATTTATAACAACAATATGCTGTGTCTGCATCTGCGCCCACTGCCATCTTTTAAGAATCTGAAGTTTACTGCACTCTGAGGCCACAGTTCTGTTCTGCAGGGCTTGGAGCCTCTGACTTCACGGCAACTTCTTCAAAAAACTTGGGCCAGAATGGAGAGAGTGCCACCACCTTCCCTATAATTATAAGAGCCGGTGATACTAACCCTGCCACTTGAACTTCATTCACCAGATCCGCCAGCTCAGCAAAAACCTGCAATTACAGATTTACATACATTTATCATTGTGTGGTTTAGCTCTCAACATTACAGATTTAATGAAAATAACAAGTCGCTAATCTGAGAGGGCAAGGATCAGTAGTGCTTCATAATATAAATAGTCCGAAAGTTTAACGTCTTATCTTACAATGTGGACACAGAATGTGAGAGAGATGCTCACCACACGTTGCTGAGGAGTGGTCCCTCGCTCCACAGCAGCAGCTGGGGTTTCCGGCAGCAGCCCATGACTTATTAATCTTGGGGCAAGGAAGGGGAGAGTTGACAAACCCATGTAGACAACCAATGTTGATTCTGGATCAGCTGCACTTTCTGCTACAAAGAGAGGATCAGTTCCCCCATTCCTCGAATGCCCAGTCAGAAATCTAATGCTGCACAAAAAGGACAGAAGATGTCAAAGACAATGCAGGAACAGAAAGAGAGTTCCATATCTCCAAACAAGATCAACATTCGAAATTCAACTATCCTCACTGGACAAAAAAGCAAACTGCATCCCACCTCGCATTTACAGATTATAATTTCAACCAAGCTTGGCTCATGAACCTGTCATTTGAAGCACAAAAGTCCAATTCTTAATGGTTAACCATACCAAATGATTCTGGATCTAGTTCTGTGAGCCTGTCAGACAACTAAGCGATGGTTGAACACATTGTAAATTCCAAATGGGCTACGATTCAGAAATCATGACCCATATCTAAGACCACCATAATAGCTACATGACTGTTGAACAGATTATCATCAACGATTCATTTTCCTCATTTCTTTCCTCTCTCACCCAGATCAAGTCTGGTCGATGTCATTTCTTGAGTTATAAAAATTAATGATTTCCATTCTGTGTTGAAACTGCCAGGATTTCCATTCTTCTTCCCCAGTGATACATTGTGCTATTATCTCCATCCTCTGGCATTTTATCTCCGTTCTACACTTTTTTGCAGAGGTATTGACGGAAGACTGAAAGATTCAATTCCCTCTTCATTCTGAAAAATCTAGCTTGAGATTGGCAAGTCAATTACTGCTCAGCATAAATGATAAATAATTCCATCAAAATTTAAACACACTTTCTTTGTACAACAAGTAGGAATCTTTGATACAGAGATATTTTTAAACTCAACCACACCCAGAGGCCACAATCACTAATGAACTTAAATGGGTCAATATTCTGTGGAAGCCCTAAACTTTAAAAGGGAATCAAATGAATAGTGAGAATGCAAAGAAAGTATATTATATAAGGAAAAGTAAGTCCAATAACATTGAAATACAGTTAATAGACGGTAAACTAAGTTTCAGGAGGATCTGATGGTAAAGAATCTACTTCGAAGAATGCCAAAAGATTATAATTCTGCAAGGCAAAGTGTATCAAGAGTTGGAGATTGGAGAAAAAGATCAAGTGCACGATTCTGAAGCATCTAAATGTACTTACTTTTACGTCCATTACTATAGAAAATGTATAGCTCACCTATTTGCAATTCCTCTGTGAGTTAATGGAATTCCTAGTTCTGCTGCTATACCAGAAGCAGAAGTGATTCCTGGGCAATATTAACAAGAACAATGGCATATCACCTGCTGTTGAACAAAACTTCAAGCCAAGAAAAGTCAGCAATATACTAGTGGCATGTTATAGTACCTGGAATAACCTTGACCCGAATCCCCTGTTGCTGTAGAAAATCTATCTCCTCTCCACCTCTACCAAATATCTGGAACATGAATGGACCGATTAGATTCACAGTACACTAAATAAGCCTTTTCCGTGCACCTAGATATCAAAAGCATCAAGTAGAGCCAAGAAAGATGAAGAACATTAGTTTGCTGAGGAGGAACAATAACTATTTTTCTACAAAGGGTAGTTGTGCAATATCCATCAATAAGCTAAAGATTTAGTTGTTTCAGACATCAACCAGAAGGATGGACAGAGGTTTTGAAGAATTGAGGATAAATGTCTTCTCTTTCAACATAAGCAGGAGAACAAGCTTCCATTTAGGGAGAAGACAAAGGCCTTTTACTTTCTCATTTCCTTTCCACAGCCACTGAACTAATGCTTGCATACATGCAAACGATCCGTAAAAGGATAGAAATGTTGCGTATGACAAATCTCGATTAGAAATAGAAAATGGGGTTCCTACTCCATACTCATCAAAGGGGATTACAATTTGTAGCAACCTCACTCCAAAACATATGATACGCAATGCAGAAAATGTCTCTTAAAATGAAAACAGGTAAATAAGAGGAATGATGGCTATAATGAATTCTCCCCCACGAGATTAAAAAAAACGCCAGAAATAGAGAAGAGCTCACCAGTGGATCTCCTCCCTTTAGCCTCACCACATTTGCCCCGGCCTCAGCAAAGTTCAGCAGCAACTGATGAATCTCCTCCTGCACAAACGCCGACAGTCAAAGACAGGTCAACAATAGCGCCATAATAGGAAAACTGAACAGATGCTAAAGAACCAAATAGTACGCAAAAAGAAAAAAGAAAAAAACGGAGGTAGGAATTCATAGGTCTGACGGAAATCCCGACGTCTCGCAATCAAGGGAACTGATAGAGGAAGAAGGGAAAGAAATGAAGAAGATTAATGGCTCTTCCTAACCTGGGTCCGACTGTGGTAACCAGCAGTCTTCCCGACATAGAGAAGGCGGGCATCGGGCCGGACCAGTTGAAGCACGTCATGGGAAACGAGGCGGTCATACAGGATGAGATCGGCCCCCTCGATGGCGCGAACCGCCTTGAGCGTCAGTAGTTCAGGATCGCCAGGCCCTGTCCCCACTAGTGACACAGTGCCCACCGGCGACCCGCCGGCACCACTGCCGCTCTTCTCCCGCAGCAGCTCCAGCAATCTCTTAAGCTCAGGCAGTTGCTGGGCAATGTCGTCCTCCTTGCCGTCGGCAGCGCTGTCTTCGTTGTTGCCGGAGGACCGAGGATCGAGAGGAGGGGCAGGAAGAGGAGGGGTAGCACCCTTGTAGAGCCAGGAGTCCCGTTGGTACCTCTCAAAAGAGTTGCTCTCCGTGAAGGGAGAGGAGGAAACGGCAAAAGAACCAGAATTGGCAAAACCAGATGAGAAAGAAGAGCGACTGAGCGCGACGATGGGTCGAGGCAAAGCGGAGGACGACCTTGCGGAGGCGAACCCGCAGAGCCCGATCAGCGACGTCGACGAAGGCGAAGGGGAGCTGATCAGGGCTGCCGGCACTGCCATCTCAGGTTCTCGCCGCCACACTACCTCGACTATACCGCTCCGCCGTCCTGAATGTCAGGTTCTGGGATTAATACCAGCGGAAAGCTCGCCGTACCTGGCACTGGGTGGCCTGTTCGCCATGTCCCCTGTGTCGGAAGATATTTGAGGGGACTTCTGGCATGATGGCGGCGGTGACGGTGGCCAGTTCGAAAAGGTATATTGTTGGGTCAGCGGCTCCTTGGTGTCGGCTAAGGACCTCGATTTTTAGTCGCAGAGAAAAGGCAAGACGGCCTCTTCGACGGTGGAAAGGACAGGTTCAGTGTACCGCCAGACGTCAACCATGAGATCTTTTTGGCGCGTGCATAGTTTATAGAAAGGGAAAAAGAACATGGTGACGAAGCTTGGGCCTCTGTAGGACCCGGGCTGCGTGTGTCAAGGCTGACTGTCTCCTTATTTCTTCTTCCAGACCAGGCTAAACTTGGGGGCATCCTGAAAAATGGACACTCTGTGATGAGATCCTTTCATCGAACTAAAAGATTTTAAACGTATTCTGAGAATTAATTGAGTCTGCTAATCCAAAATATACATATAGTTGGAGTTCTTTTATGTACTAAATGAGTAAAAGGAGTAAATGTCAACTCTAAAACCTGAGCCAATGAATGCATTTTCAGCTGTAAAAATTAGCAAGAACTAAGGAGCACCTTCACAATAGCATCAAATGTCCTCAAAATGAAAAAGAGGGTTTGGTGTATAGATGGCGTCATCTTGTCTTCAACCATAGATCTCTCCTTTGTGACACTAAAATCGTGTTCTTCAAGTTCAATGAGTGTTAGTTATTTTATCGATAATAATGTTATCGTTCATCAATATAAATTGAGATTTTCATTTACAAGGCTTATTTAATTACAAATAAAGAAAAACTAATAAACAATGCTCTCATTCCCACCCTAATAGATTCAAGGGGTGTCTTATTTTCACTAGGCATTCTATTGGAACATCAAATGAAAGATATTTTAATGATCACAAATATTCATAAGACCAATTAAAAGATCAAACTAAGCCTAATCTCAAATAGATTTAATATGAGAATAACAATAAAGTGTTTATAAACATTTTTTAAAGTTATGTTTAATAATTAGATATGAATTCATTGAACATACTTGCGATTAATAATGCTAGATTTATATATTTGATTAATTTCATTGTAAGAAATTATCATGTCGTGAAAAGTGTTAATATTTACAAAATATAGTATTGTGAAAAATAATGATAAATACATCCAAATCAACAAGACAATAAGAAGTAAAATCTGAGTATGAAAGTTTACTTAGTGTATTGTGTAATTGTGACACTAGATCATTACTTCTGAATAATTTTGATATCATTCTAATCAATTAAATTGACATTACTTATTAAGTCAAATATAATTTTATGAATATTAAATAATGTATTTTTAAAAATTATTTTAGATATCTTGAATCATCAAATCATGATCAGAAAATATAAATTATGAATCAAGATGTTAATTGATGCTCAGATTTTATTTCACATGATTTAAATAAGATTTGGTTGATACATCATCATCTTATCATGATATATATTCTGAGTCGTATTAACAATATTGAATTTTTTTCAATCTTTGATTGGACCAATACAATTTACATATTTACATGATTTAAAAAATTCATGTATTAGTTTCTCTCGAGGATATCCAAACTTATAAATAGCATATTTTATTGGTTTTCAACTTTTTAAATTTCTAATCATTTTTTAAAATATTACCATGATAATGAAAAATATGATAATATTTAAGATTATATTTTTCTATAAATACAATAGTTTTCTAATGACTAATTAGAGCTGAAGAACCATCTTTAACCTCTCTACGACTCAAGAGTTGTACTAAGTTTTTCTATAAAAAAATATAAGTGAGATTGTGAGATCTTTACTACTTGGCCAAACTTTATGAGACACCAAGTTAAAGAGCATCACTCAAGTATATAATGATCATCTTCAACTAGTTTGAAAAGGTAACACCTTCCATCTTCTGACAACATCCTTATGAGAAGAAGATGGCAAATATCAAGGGTTGATCATCATCTTGTTCATCGAAATTCTAGATATTTATAAGTTAACATCATCTTCTAGAAATCATCCCATAATGACATTTTATTATTTGTTGTGACATAAATGTGATATTAAAATTTTATTTATCATGAGTCACATCTGCCACATTAATAGTGAATCTAGAAGGAAATTTTGAAGAGAAATTTCAGGGAGCTATCTCGGTGAAACAACAATGTGGCATTATAAAGTTGTGAATGTAGAAGGAAGATTATAGGTGAATCTTCAATGGAACTAAGCTCATTAATGAGTGACTATCCTTGGATAATCATAAGTACTAGAAACTAAGAATAATTTTGTTCTTAAAGAGTGGATGTAGCTAGTTTGGCAAAACCTCTATAAAACATAGTGCTCTAAATGAACTGAAAAATCCACATATCCATTGTCTTAAGAGATGAGTAAAATTCTAAGAGACCTTATCTAAGAAAAAAATAAGAAAAGAATATATCAATTTGACCCCCCCCTCTTCTTAATCTTAGTGTTAAACAAAACTTAACATGTTCCCCATCAATAGAGAGTGCCTAGGCCTTGTAATTAATCTATCTTCTTAAAAAAGAGTTGTCAAGTGGCGTGACTTAGTTGTTGTATAGTAAATCATGTAAATTTAAAATTTATAAAATTAGAAAATACTAATTTTTAGATATTTAAAAGTATTTCTGAAAAAATATATTAATTATAATTCAGTAAAATTTTCAAAAATAGTAGGAATTTTCCAAGTCGATCATAAGGATGTAATATAATATCGAATAACTTTTTAGAATTTTTCTTAAAGAATATACTTTTTTATAAATTTTATACTAATAAATAAAAATAAAATATATTTAAAATTTACAGAAAAGGAAAATAAGGGTGCGGACGTCATGATGACGTCAACACCCGATGAACGTGAAACATACGAAAATAGAGTTTCATCTGATGATTCTTTTGTAAGTGATTGCAGACAATTTAATTGATCAAATTAAAATTTCTAAAAGCTAGAAGAATCATAATTGAATGAAGAATAGCTTAATAAATTTAAATCACATAAATTATCACTAAATGAAGTGAAAATTAAGTTGAAAATAGGAAAATAGAATTCCGGTGTCGCGACGACGATGTATCAGTGATGCACCAGAATCCTAACTATTTGGTAAGATCGTTGTGCAGTATCCATAGCCTCGAAGGCTCTCCTTAGATGCAGATGACGTAGACAATCTCTAGATCTTCATGTGAAGTTTAGAGACTAATAAAATGGGTTGTCGAATCATCTTCGACAATTGTCACCCAATGAAATAGAAAAATGATGACTTTACGACTCTCTAGTGGCTGTCACCCGATAGAGAGAAGTTGGATAGAGGTATGGCACGTGTCAGGGAGCTTTATCCTCAGGTCCGCACAGTAAGAGGAGGCTCCTCATCGCATCTAGTATGCTCTCAAGAGGTAGTGACTTGTCTCCTAGTAGATCGTCCTCTTCCCAACACAGCTTGTTCATTGATCAATCGGAAATGCTTTACTTGATAGATTCACGATCCTTTTATCATAAGTCGTTTAGTAATCTTAATAACAATGCTCCGTGAATCGTGTTGATAAGATTTTCATCGATGATCAAGCAATTCTGGCGACTTAATCATTCACCGACGATTTAGAGGAAAGTCACAATTTAATTAGATAAAAATACAAATTTTAGCTCTAGTAGGATTTGAACCCACGTCAGTCACTTGCTTGTATAAGAGAGATTGAAATAAGTATTTTAATGTCCTTATAAAGTGACATCATCATGGTATATCGGTGTTATAAATAAGGAATATTTTAGGTATTAAAATAAACGAAATCATTCTAGGGAAGGTATAACGTGGGTTTAATCTCATATCGATTGTACGCTAAAGTATTGGACAAATATATAGTAATCCCACATTTATAAGTAATGAGTCACTTTCTCACGTATACGATCACTTTTTGCCCCATAGCTGATTGACCACCAGTGACGTGGAAGGGGAGTGACACAATGCCCCCATCAGTCCATAGCCACTCAAGCCCTTACTTGTAGCTCCAACTTGACTACACTTTCGACCCACTTGTAGGCCCAACTTGTTGATGGGTCCCCCCTTCTTTTTCTATTTTTTTATTTTAATTTTTTTTCTTTATTTACCTCAAAAACAAGATTATAAAAATCATATAAATTTATATAAAATTACATAATTAGCCAAAAACTCACATTAACAAACTAAAAATCACTTTTCATAAATTAACACAAATATAAGTCTATTTATCATCAGTTAAGAATAAAACTATATTATTTATTAATTATTAAGTCATGATAATGAAGACTTATCACTAAAGAAAGTGTTGTGTTATTAACAAAGACATTTATCTATCCACATAAATGATATGAGAAGAGAAATAGTCATGTAGAAAAATGATGTATCAACAAGGTTGTGCACATAGAAGAAAACCACTGCTCATGCTAGTCTAATGGCATGATTCGTATTCGTTGAAACCTAAGTGACTTAAACCTATATTGAAATTAAAATATGGTTGATTATTTCAACCTACTTTTAATATAGATTTGAGTCCCTAATCCCACTATGATTTTCCAATTTAAAAAAAGATTCACATAGAAACATTGAGAGAAGAAGATATATTTATATAGAGAAAGGGAGCAGGATGTTGGTTTCAAATAGTCCTGATAGCATGACATGAATCGACTATTTATGATATATCCAGTTAACATATGATTCTAAGCATTTTTTGTAGACAACATTAATAGGGTTGACTCATTTGGTAACACCCAACAAAGATTCTCTTTTATACTAATTTAGCCTTGCCCAATCTTTATCCACTTACAAGAGTTTTCTATCTTACTTCGCCCTATCCTCTCTCATAGAAAATTTACTGAAATTCACACTATCACTAGAAAGCTCTTATGTTGACTCATCCAACATTTAAGCTTCATAAAATGTTTGCTAGTCACATTAAATTCATAACTCTAACATGTTAAAGTATGATCCATTATTTTTACTCCTTGTATATAAAAATTATTTCACTACTTTGAGTTGTATACATACTATTTTACCTCAAATATACTTTACTTATATTTTTATCTCATTTCAACTCTTGTGATTTAAACTTTTAAGATTACATAATTTAAGCATTCCAATATTATCTTACCATCCTATGTCATCAATATAATTCTCAAGGCTCCTATACTCATTACACCCTTGTGTTGACTTGCCATACAATCTACCCAATTAGTTTGTATATTTGATTAGTTTTGACTATGTTGTTCTGTATGCATGTTTGTAGGAGAGTCTAAGACTAATTTTGATCTTGTGATGTGTTAGAATCTATTTATAGGAAGTTTCTCTCTCCTCAATTTGATGATATAGTAGTTGTGTCCATTAATTATGTCAATTCACCTAGGTCAACCCACTTAGGGCTTGAGTTAACCTTCCTTTCTAAGATTAGTTTCTTTCATTTTGATTTGTAATGACAATCTTTATTTGTAGGTGACACGTAAGAATAAAGTTGAAGTGGGCAATATATAACCTATGCTGGACTTGCCTTGTAGTGTGGTGCAACTTATTTATATATATCATTAGTGCAGAAATCAGAAAAGGCTTTCTTATTGAATGATGTTTCACGATGAGTCAATATTTTTGTAAATGAAAAAAAAGATTAAAAAGGTCAAATGATGATAAATTTACGTCTTTTAAAAAAACATATATGTACAAAATTTATGTTCCAGAAATTTCAAAATGTGATCCTATGTTTTTATGCTTTTAAGAACCATACCTTATTTCACTCTGGTCTCAAATCGAATTTATGACTAATTTTAGGTGTTGAAATTCGTCCTGGCTCACCTGTATGTATATACCTCTTTTTTTTCCCCATTTTATGGGTTAGGTCGGCATAACGAACAGGAATCCGGGCTTCCGTTCCTGGTGGCGGATTAGTCCAAGGAATATAAAAATTGATGGTATGAAAAGAAAATATCTGCAACGTGCAGCCCGACCCGTTCGCTGACTTCGGATAAGATCCCATAGAATCCAAGGAACAAGCAACGCAACTTTGGAGAACCCAACGTAACGCCGGGAGCCATGGCCACTACCCCTCTACCGCGCCTGCATTCTCTCCCTTTCTCATCATCATCCACGGCGAAGATCCCCCCGCCGCTTCTGAGAAGAAATCTTGTGGGCTTCCCCACCACCAACACCAAGTTTCTCGTCCCTCTTCCGTGCATCAGAAGAACCAAGCGGCTCTCCGCGGAGGCCAGGGGCTTTGGAGTCGCCGTCCCAGAGAAGGGAAGGAAGGAAGAAGACGACGGCGGTGGGAACAAGCGCGGGGGAGACGACGACGATGAGGAGATCCCCCAGGTGGTCTTTGACAGGATGGTGCGGCGAATCTTGTTCGCCGTGGGGATGCCCATGGCCGGTGGCGTGGGTTTGCTCTATGTGATGAGTGTGCTGAAGGAGAATGGCGTCTGGGATGTGCCCACTTGGCTGCCTTTCGCTAGCACGCTTCTCTCGTTCGGCACGTCCGCGCTGGGGATCGCGTTTGGAACGCTGTCGACCAGCTGGGATCCAGATAGGGAGGGCTCGTTCTTCGGTTGGGCGGAAGTGACCAAGAACTGGCCCAAGCTGTGGGAAGAAGAGGGAGAAGAGCGGAGATGACAACAGTCTGTGGGAGAGAGGTTGTTTACGGAGGAATTCATCTGTGGATTCTGTCGTTTCCCAGGTTAAGCCCAATCGGGTCATGCTTCTTATTACATGGTATTCATTGGCATTACGAATACGATCTGGTTAGAATCTAACGGCCAGCTATTTATGCCATTGCGGGCGGGTCACATGGATTGCCAGTACCTCCTGGCCAACCAATACGTATTGGAAGAAAGAAGCCAGCATATTCGTAAAGTGTTATTCTATTTACGTCATGCGAGTTGATATTCCATGTGGAAGTTCATCACGGAGATGGAATTTAAAATACGTCATTCTCCTTTTATGTTTACTTTCTTGTCTTCAGGCCTCCCTCCTTGGTTACCAACTCATCCCTCCATCAGCTTGAAGAAATGCTTAGTCGCACAGTCTCCTAGCGTCATATCAAGTTCAATGATGCAAACACCAGCCTTCTTCTATTTAGTGTGACGAGCGGAACCTTCAGTCAAGTTTCTAGCGCTTTAGCAGTCACTATGCAGCGTACGAAGGTTCGGACTAAGATCTAGATCATGGAGAAAACGCTCTCCTCATGATCAATTATATCCATTGTCACAATGATATAACACTGGGCTATGAGCATCTTCTATATGGACATGCCAGAAATAACAGCAGCCCCCACCACATCCAAACACAGCAAGGGATTTACTTTTCTAAATCTGGATCTCTAATGCATGTTCGTATCAGTACGTTCTACCTTTCCCTATAACAACTTTTCAACTAGAAATAACAATTTCAGGTATTTTTTTTGCTAAGAACCAACTTTAATATTATTTAATGCTCTCCATTGGAACTAGCCAGACTTTGTAATACACAAAATATATCGTTTTACTCGCCACTTCAAACATCATGTTCACCCCTACCAATACGCATGCAACCACGTCCATTTCAATTATTAATGATATGCAAGCAGGTTTCTGATGTGTTCAACAAAAAATATCATTATGATCAGCTCCATTTGAGTATCAAAATACTGTGTTGTGAAATTGACAATAGATACAGAATGATCAACAAGTCAACTTTTAGGGAATGTTGTAGCAAAGAGAAAAAACAAAATTGTGCTTTGGTGTCTTATGTGGAGAGACAGACCCAAGAAATCTGTCTTATAAATTGATGTTAACCAATGTATTGATCCAAACAAGTATATGTCAACCAAAGTCAGAAATATGTCACTCTGAGCCAGTCTATGTAGACCCATCCCTATGTCTCAATCCACACCTATCTATGTCAGCCAAGCGGCTACAAAACCAAGATCAGCAACCTAAAAACATTAAAATATGTAAAAAAATATGAAGAAACAGTTCACTTCACCTCTTTGTATTCTATCTAGCCAAACTTTCGGACATCATTAGGCACTATAAAGAGCCCATTCCAAAAGTATAGGAATATAACCTCAACAACAAAACAGAATCCTTCTATACACTTTAGAGTGATGGCCCACTCAACATATGGTTTCATTTTGATTTTTTTATACTAGCATTCATCTTCATCTTTCTCCTCATGTGTTGACACATGAGGGTGGTCGAATTGGCAGCACATCACCAAGAGCAGGGTAAACTGAAAGTGTCTTAACTCTTTTATTTTTCTTTCAATTTCTTCTCCCTTATCAGTTCCTAGGATCAAAATGGCCAGAGATATATTCCACATACTAAGTACAACATATGGCACCACTTCCTTGGATTTTATTAAAACATTAAGTAAATTATATGCTAAGTCATAGGCTTCCAAAACCTTATCACTATATTTAAAAGATTAAGTCAATTAGATCCTACTTAAGAATTTTCTTTTAGATTCACAACTCTAGGGGGGTCAAACTAAAGAGATCTCACCTTTTTCTTCTAAATTATGCCTCTAGGGGGTCCAATTAAAAGTCTCAGCTTTTTCTTCTAAATTCATGACTCTTGGGGGGTAAATGTAAGAAATTCACTTCTCTTCTAGATTCACAACTTTAGGAAACCGGTTGAGATAAGCACCAACAACTATTTCTAGATTAAGACTAAAGATGAGTCTTGTATTCAGGTGCACTCTAAATACAACAATTAAGCATATTATTATACTATTCATTCAACTCAATCCATCTTGGAGACTACAATCTTCTGATTTTATCATTGGGAAATCTTAGTTTGAAAGAGTCATTGAAGAGCTTAAGCAACATAAATCTGTGGTTTCCAAGTGCTGAAGGATGCAACATCTAACTTAAACTCCACTGAGGACAATTGTAGACAATATCGCACGTTCTCTAATTCTTTTTCTCACACTCTCACTTAGTGAGCACAAGCCCTTCTTTTTTATAGAGCCTATTGGGATACTTCCGATACTCAACATAATGGGTCACCAAATGGTCATCCAACAGTCTAATGTGTCACATACCACACTTAAAAGTTAAAACTCCAGAAAAACTCATTAATATTGTAACATCTGTAAAAAATATAACCTTTGAATTTAGATGCATGGTTTGTTGTACCATGTTCCTCTTCCAAGAAACTTTCCAATGAGTACTAGCATGGTCACATGCATATGTGACACTAATTTTCAAATTCAAATATAGATAAAGAGTATTACACTTTGAACAAAATTTTCAATATTATCTAATGTATTAATTGACCCTTCTACTCTTGACTGAATTCTGCTTAGAAATCGAAATCAATCATAATCATCTATACACAAAACTCTCAATCCCTCATCTGTCTACACCATATATATATACCCGTCCATGCATGCATATTGTCAAAAGCAATTAGACTCCCAAAAACTTCAAAATGTATAGATAATATTATAATAAAATACTCAATAAATTTACAAATTATTTTAGAGCATATGCATGTTATTTTCAAATGTTACAAAAATATCTAATTTAACTTGGAATACAATGTTATCGTCCTACCCTTCATCTTCACTTTATTAAATTTAACACCTTCCTCAATAACAATCATTAAGATTATCAAAGTACCTAAGTCCACAATCATAATCTTTATTTAAACTATTATTATGTAGATTATGATCATCATGAAAACATTAAGGCCTCCTAAAACCATCAATTCAACCTTTTTATGAGGACAAAATATGTGTGAAATAATTAAGTACTGTAGAAATTATGAACTTTCTGTAAAATGATCATGAATCAAATAGGCTTGATTTCATATTCGGCTCCTAGAGCCAACACTACTTGATTTCACATGAAATAAAATTTAAATCCTTAAATTCATAATGACTGATAGGGACAGTACTTGAATCCAAAAAATCCAAAGTTTAATCCTTGGGATCCATAAGGGATCTCTTGAATCCATAAGAAAAGATAAAAGATTCAAATAATACTTCAGTTTGAGAAAAAGCATCTTAATCTAAAAAAAATGCCTCCTTAAATATTACAAATAGAGAAGCAACCGACCATAGATTCGTGAGTCTCGCAAACTGCCGTCACTTCCTCAGATATCATGTTCACAGGCTTATATCTTCTTCGTAAGTGCCATGACATTGAAGTTATTTGAATCTGGGTACCTTTCAATCATGCTCTTGATGACCATGGCCGAATCCTGGAAAAAAATGGGCAATAAATGATAACCAAAGATAGATGGAGGTGCAGCAGCAAAAGCAGGAGCACACAGTAGAACGCACAAGAATTGAAGAAGCATGCACTTCTATTACTTCTCACTTACATAAGAACAACCAAAAGCAAACAGTGGGACTTTTCTGAAAAACTGAATGATTAGGCAACCCAATATTTCATTTAAATTCTGAGCTAGATTCCGAATTATGTTTATCCACATGGAACGAAATGGAACCTATTTTCAATGTTCGTGATCACAAACACAAATGGCTACCAGCATCTGAATTTCTAGCAGCTTCTGATCACAAATACGTACCAAGCCATGGAAAGTATGTTTATTTCACTCTTCTTAAGATTTCCATCTACTATTGGCAATGGCTGTCAGAAATTATTAAACAAAACAATGACTCAAGCACCTGTTTAGGTTCCGCTCTTTGTATGACCATGGAGTTCTTACTCCTTGTAACTAGGTTCAGCTCTCATTGCATAAGTTGATTCCATTATAACCAATTGCTCACCTCTTCATAATGCTCTACAGTGTGAATGCAATCAACAGCCTTACTTTCAAACATGAGCCACATGTGTGCCAGATTGTATCAAGAAAAAATTCTCAACCTGATTACCTTCAGGACAAGTTCATGTTCAATACCTTCACGAACAGACAGACAGTAATGCATTAAAATACACCCCCTGTCCCTACCCTTCCGGCACTTCCCTCTTGCCCAATCTCACCTCTCTCGTTCTTTTGCTGCAAGTATTCCGTATGGATCATGTATTTTAATCTAGACTCCAAATCCATCATATAGCCAAAAGTACATAGATTCCGCTGTTTCCACTGCCACCACTTAGTTGAGCCAAAGTCTATCTACTTTTATTTTATTTATTTCTTTTATTCTTGCTTTCCTTCTCCCTGTGAAATTTACTCAAGACGACCTAGCAGTTCTGGTTCTCAATGTGGGTTTATAATGACCCATGGTTTCAGGTCCTACTTTCAAGATAAATAAAAGTTAGTGTCACTCACTTATATTTCCAGGGAACAATCCTATCAAGGAATTATAGAAAACATTTTCATACTTCAGTGTTACTATGGGTGTCCAATGACAATATGAAAAACCTGAGAGTTCCTTCTCTGATTTGGTATCCCCGCTGGTTAGCAATCAACTTGTTCAGAATAGGACAAAGATGGTGGTATACCATTTCTTGATATGGCATCATATATACTGTAAACTTTTCATGAAATCTTTGCAATCAAGTTTTCCATGGCATCATAGAGGCTGAGGATTGCTTTCCTCTTGTCGCCAATTGATAAGGCTCCACACACATGCGAGAAGGAAGAAGGCCCAAAGCCCAATAAGTCAATAACGGTTAGCATGATTGAGGGAAGGCACAGTTATGGCAAGGAACAATATGACAAGGAACAGTAATGGCAAAGAGCGGTTATGGCAAGAGCAGTTATGGCAGGAGACTAACTGCCTAAATAAGAGAGGGAAAGGAGAGGATATAAAGATGGGCAGAGCAGAAAGGAAGGGGAGGAAGGAAAACAGTGTTAGTATCTCATGCATCTACGAGAAAGGGTTGGAAGGTTGTATGTGATCCTCCATCTGTTCTGGGTTCTTTTACTGTGCTTTATCTTTGGCATTTCTGTTCTAGAGATTGTTTCTTTCATCTGATACGAATTATTCATAGTTCTTTGACCTGGGTTCTTATCACCAATCTGCTGCTCTCTTTTGTAAACTGTTAATGGGCCAGCAGGTTTAAGATCAAATAATTGACAATGAATCGACCGTACATTGGTGGTGTGCGGAGTAAGAAAATTCTCTCCAGTTGGCACATCCCAAGTTAGGTTTTTCAGTGTCCTTTCTACACTACTTGTCCTCTTCTTCTGTCTTGACTCTTCCTGTAAAAGATGTAAAGGATCTGAAATGGCTGCATGCACTGGATGCGAATACGAGAGCATTGAAAGAGAATAAGACTTGCTAGCAGGTGGACTTTCCTCAGAGGAAAAGCATAGCTAGATCCAAGTGGATATACATCGCCAGATGCAAGATGGATCCTTCCATTGACCACTTTAAGGCAAGATTTGTCACAAACTGACTCACAAGGACCAAGATAGACTCTAAGAAAAACTCTGAACTTCTTGCAAGGTTCCAATTTGATAGGGTGATTCTCTCTCTAAGAGCTCAACTTTCTCACTATGCTTCTTAGATGGGAAGATTTTTTTCCTGAATACTGAGCTGCAGAAATAGGTATGCGTACAACATCTTCCAAGATAAGTGGCATATGGAAAGATATGTAATTGAAGAGAGCACTATATGGTTTGAAAGTATTTCCCTCAGTTATGATTTTATAGGCTAATGGTTGCAGAGATATGTTCTGGATATCAGCAACGTGATGTCGATCATAACCTATTCGTCAAAGGGAATGATGAGAAGGTTTGTATCCAATATTAAGTGGATAATGTTGTCATTACAAGAGAAAACGGTGATAAGTTAGTACAATCAAAGATGTAAATACCATAAATTGTGAGATCAATGTTCTGGGTGACACGAGACATTTTCATAAAGGTTAGGTTGAAAAATCCTCAAAGGAAATTGATATATGCTAGGAAAGGTATGTACTTTTTCTATTCAAGGAAATAGGGAAGTTATGATGCAAGCCAGTTATGACCCCAATTGAAGGGAATCACAGGTTGAATAGATATAAGGAGAACTGCTCCCTAGTAGTCGCAGAGGAAAAATATCATAGACAAGTGGGTAAGGTTTCGTTGTTTACATGACCTGATATCTACATGACATAAATTTTACAAGTTAATTTGTGCACTTCCTAAGCAGTTCTCAGTCAAGGTATCTGAGGCTTCACTATCCTAAATCACGTCCCAAGAGGGGTATATTTTAGTCTACATCCCAGAATATGCATATCAATGACTACGCAAAAGCTGAAATAGTTAGATCACATGAAGATAGGAAATCAACTGCCACGTATTACAATTAGGAAGGTGGAAATTTGGTAACCTGGAGCAATAGAGAATTGATATCTGATGCAAATCAAAGAAGAATAAATATCTGGGAAAATTTTCTCTTATCAGTTCACAGAACGATTGCTAGTATTAAAAAAATTATATACGATTATCCTGGCCCTGGGGAGAAAACCTAGATTCAATCCCAATTACGAAACTAGGAAACTGACTAACAGAAATTAACTCTTAATTACACGTTTTTTCCCACATTGTTGCTAGATCTAATGAAGAACATGAATAATAAGGTACGGAACATTTATGGAGAGAATTAATATACTCAAAGCTTCATTTCCAAAATATGGCACTCATGGTTCAGCTCCCATTAAAGATATATTGTGAAAATACTATAGCATTAAGCAATCAAAATAATCAAGTATGCATTGAAAGGACGCAACATGTCGAGATCGATTAGCAGTTTACATAGGAAATGCTATTCTGAAGAATACTGTATTCCGTAAGTTCCCTTGAGAGACCGAGCCACGGTCATTTTTATCAAATAGATATATAAACACGTCGCATTGTGTAAATTGAAGAAAAAAGGTATCTACGCTCGATATGAGGGAAGTATCCAGGATTGCTTTCTGAGCACTTGTACCCATTCATCAATCGTCCTCTTCTGTGACGATTAATGGGCGCAGGACTTGTAGCTCAGACAAACGGATCCTCATTACATAAATTTTTGTCCTCATATCAACAATGTCCAGCGCAAGAATTTTCGCTCTAGATTACCACACACCAAGTTCGGGTTTCTGGTGCCCATTTTTATGCCTCTTACACTATTGATACAAATTCTACAGAAGAAACATCAGATCTCATCCTCTCACTATGAGTCAACTTTCGAAAGTCATAATGATGCTCCATGCAACACAAAACCCCTAGTGGGGTGTTTTTAATCACAAAATCTCATTCTGAGATTTTTTGGTAAATGCCAAGAACCGAAAGGAATTCAACTTTACAAGAAGTTGACGAGTACTGAGTTGTAATTTTCACCAGCACATTCAACTTTTTCCAGTTTTTATTCGTCTGTGAACAGATCTGCCAGTCATCGGCAAAAAAATCCGCAACAGGTCCCAGAATATACCTAGCTTGTCAATGAAAAGTTGTTGAATACACTATTTCGATGGAGACGTAAATTCTAAGTATCTCAAGTTCTGAAACAAACCTCTGTTTTAATCAGTAGAGAGAAGAATAGGAGAATCATGCAGATAAAATTAGGGCCGACCAGAAGCCTATTGTTTCCATCATCAGAACCACTTCACAAAATCTTCTCAGTATTCATAGATTTTTAAGGAAATATTATCACTTAGGCAACCTCTGATAGGAGCCCAGAAAGATAAAGTTTCCTACAGCTGAAATTCCTCTTAATCGATTAGGAAACACTTTTGAGTCCATCGAATGAAATGGAACTGAATGGGAGGAAACCATCCTTCCAGAGAGCTTCCCCATGGTCCTGTTGATAATGTAACCGGTATTGTGTCTGCAATGGAAACCATCCTTCCAGAGAGCTTCCCCATGGCATCATGTTGTTGCGATAGTTGACAAGGAAGTCCATTGCAGACACAATACCGGTTACATTATCAACAGGACCATGGTGCACCGATTTAGCATTAACCCTGGGTCCCTTTTTAAACACCAGTTTGCCCCATTTGGATGATATGTAGATATATAAAACCTCATTATGATTCTTGCATCACAATAAAATACATCTGGATACGAGTTACAGATTCTGCCGCACGATTTACTTCCACTAGAAAAGAAGACTGCAAAAATGCTCAGCGAATTGCAAGAAAAAGCATAAACAGGTATAGGCTACATTCAAGAACTCTAAGAGAGTAAAGAAAGGTAGGCTAATGAAAGACGCCATTACTCAAATGGAGTTGGAGTTACCAGTAATAATCTGTCAGGTGATGATGGACCGTGTGACAGTGGTTGGGTCTTCATTCCATCAAGTTCATAAAGCTCGCCTACATATTTCTCATCCTTTTTACTTTTATATGGACATGAAGAAAAGGTAAAGCATGTTCTTTTTAAAAAATCACCTACTTAGGCATCGTACGGTAATGGGTAAAAAGCAAAATACACTTACCATCAACACATGTAAAGCAGATAAAATGCTCATTCACATTTGCAGAAGCCTGACAAAAAGACAAGAACCTTATCAAAATCATCGAGAACATCTTTCCTCCGAGCAAATCAGAAAAAAGTAGAAAGAAAACAGTTCAAATACGAATTAAAGAATATAATAACCAAAGAAAGTGCCGGGTGCACATTTTTCTTCTTCAACCCTAAGCAGAGAAAATACAACAGCAGGAAGTATGCCAGGAATGCACTCCCTTTATAAAACATGAGCTTGACTCAGGCTGAGAAAATTAAGTCCATACAGCCACATACAAGAAGCTGGGTGAGGCATCAGGCAGCTGTCTGTTTTGGCCATCTGGAATAAGTGACATCACTCACATACAGATGTCTAATTTACATCAATCCAAGAAAAAAACTCCATCATTCTCTGTAACAGGAAAGAGAAATAACATGCAGACACATGAAGTCAATGTCCCTTGACACCCTTGCATGGCCATGTGTGTTAATGGTTTCAATATGAGAAGCATGACATGCTGTGCTCCTGAATTAAAGAAAGATGGAAGCTCTAGCGACTTATCGGGTGTCTACATCATATTATCATCCACTTTGTCACCAAAGGTATCTACTTACATGCTGCTGAAGCATAAATGTACAAAGAGCTTCATTGCTTGTAGTAAGAGGATATGAAAAAAATTACTCAATCCCCAATGACGAAAGAATTTTCTAGCTGAAATCATAATGCAACTTCAACAATAGATAGATATAAGATAAAGGTGATTTTTTCAACAGCCTAGATAAAATTAGACTTACAGGGAATAACAGAGAGATGACAGATGCATAATAGAAAATGTTTGATATAATTTCTGCTTAGATAGATGAAATATCTTTTTCCAGCCTGGGGTCACCACCAAACATAAATTCCTCGAGGAAATGAACTACAACCATACTAACCGAATAAAGCTTGGGAGATCACCATCACATTGTAGATCTGCATGTCATAGATGATGTCTTCAATGCAGGTGTAAGATTCTTAAAATTCAATGCCGTTGATCCACATTTAAAGTAAGAAGGGCTTTGTGATATGAATTATGTTTGTGAATTGACTGATTCAACCGATTCATATATAAATTGGCTTTGTGACACCCATAGTTATTCAATCGGACTTTGTTTTGAAGTGTTCTAATCCACTGGTGTCTTTGCCCTCTGAGGTTCTACTCAAAATAGCAGCTAAAATGAAGAAGAAAAAGATTAATAAGTGTGACCAATAACAACTTATGCCAAGAATTTAACAGTTAGCTAATCTCATCGCCGGCTAGGATTGATTTAAAAGAAATAAGAATAACCTCAGTGTCACCAGCAGAAGCTGCTAAAGAATGAGCATCTTCCATTTCTCCATCCTTCTCAAGAAAAAGTGCACGCTGCATAACAAAGGATTACATATACATCATGTAATGCAAGATGATAAGTCTTCTTCAGGACCTAAGTATAGCATAGTAAAACAAACAGAAGAAATAAAGAAGAATGCTAACCTCAAGTGGATCCATGTTCGCTGTTGACTTGAAGAATTTGTCAAAGAAAGATTCTTTTGCTAAAAATATAAAAGATGAAGTAAATTACATTGTAAGGTCGTTTGAGATTTTTGATGGCAATAACCGAAATAATAGATATAGTAAAAGACAGACTTCTAAAAAAAAATTATAGAGTCTAAACAGTCAATTTAGGCAACCACTAAACATAAAATACAAGTGGATTCTTCCAAGTACAGTCCATTAAAATATTAAAGAAACTATTAAAACTTACTGAATATTCAAGAGCCTCAATAATTATACAAGTTCATAACTATGCTATCATATGAGGTTCTGATGATATGTTACTGATTGTTGTATGATCAATATACATCCGAAATGTGCACAAGTGAATTCGGCCATGAGGCTGCAATAAGAAGTAAACATATAAATTTTACAGTGTTGTATGTTAAAAATATGTGATCTGACATAGAAAACAAAGAACAAAATTGATATGTTGAGATACTTTTATGATATGACACCATCTATTGGAATTTAAACTGGTTAAGCTTGTGGCAATCAGACGGTCAATTTATCCATAGAGGCCTTTACTTGACTAAATCGTAATTAAGTTTCTACTTTTCCATTTCTACATTAAAATAGAAAGAGTCCTAGGCTGGGTAAACGAATGCACCTATGTAAATCATATGTACCAATGGATGAGTGCACACCACAATTAATACAAGCAATTTTTATAGTAATTTCGTTAATCTCAACTCCACCCCCTAAGCCTCCTCTTAAGATTTTCTGCAAGGTTACATCTTAACTCAAGAAAAATTGGCCATTTCAAAGAGCTTACTAAATCTTTGACAATTAGTTGGATTTCTTAGGTGATGTAGAATAGACCTTGAAGGAAACTAAAGGACCCCAATGAGTGCACCCTAGAAATCTGTAACAAGCAAAAAGAACCCAATGAGTTGTTATGTCATCAATAAGGATGATTGTTTTTTCCTTTTGCAGGGGTTATAACTATGTCCTCTTTTTTAAGAAACTATTAACTATTAGAGAGCTTCATATCATATCCAAATTTTTTGAGAATCTACAACTGATTTTTATAATTTACGTACACCATCGATCAAGAGGGTTATTTTTCAACCCAGAAAAGGTACTGCTCTCCTCTTTGTGAATTCAGGCAACCCCTTGTGTATCTAAGAGATCCTATAATTTTATCCTTGTGAATTTAAAGATCCTATATTTTTGTTAGGCCCCCAGTGGACCTAACCTACTCTCACCACAGGAAAAGTGGCTCTCAGTCCTAGTGACCACGACAGCGGAAGACTGAAAGGCCCAATCACATGAGAAGATGGCATAACCAGAGTAAAGGATAAATGAGTCCTTGTGCTGTAAGGGGTCGGGCTATTAGGCACCCAAGTGGGGAACATTCAAGGGTATTGAATGGTTATTCTAGGGCAGCTGCGGCCGAAGGACAGGAGAGGACCTCTCGAACTCCCCACTGACTCTAGGGTTCTTCAGAGCCCAAGCCACTCTTTCTACTGTTTGATCTTCTATTTCCATTTTTATTTCCATATATCTATTGCCCTCTCCTCTCCAGATTCAGTTCCCAACAAGTTTCCTCTCTGACTTCTGCTGCGTCAAAGATGTACTCATAAACCTAGTTTGCAAGCTTCAAGAATCCCTCTTTCATTCTACTATTCCTTTTAAATAATCAAACATGTTGATTTCTAATCATTGACTTGCTGGTATTTAGATTATGCGTCAAAGATGTCCAATCTTTTTTTGATTTCTAATCAAAAAAAGATTGGACATCAAGAACTTTAATGTACACACAATGGAATAACGTCTTAACATAAAATGGACTGAAAAGATGAAACTTAGGATCTTGAAAATTGGATAGATGACATATGTTAAAGAGTTCAGTTTCTAGACTACATAGAGTGCTAGATATTGTTGTATTATGAACTTCATTGTGTTGGGCTATTAAGCTATGATAAAATCCCTCATTCATTTTGATGAACCAAACTATTTAGGCTTATGTAAGAGAGATCATAATGTTAGAAATAATGTTAGAATGTAACAAATCGTTTCATTTTTGGGCCAAAATGCATCGTGATCAAAATTGCATTTCATACATGACCGAACGAATTTTTCAGGTTAAGAGAGGTAAGTGTCAACACTAGAAAATGTGCTGATTCTTTCACTGGGAAAATAATTCATTATAGAAGAGTCAAAGCCTAGAGGGAATGCTAGATAGTACTGGTCTTGACTGGTCTACATTCATGGGCTAAATAGAAACCACTTCATAGGGGTCAACATATGAGAGAAAAGTGTCAATCACCAATGAAAAACAGCGTGCAACTTATGCAAGGGTTGATGCCACAGATCAAACTGTTAACATTCATGGAAAGGTCAACACTCAAATGACAATGGTCAAGACTAAGGTAAAGTTTCTGGACCACGCATAGGAGGTGCCAATATATGAACATGCTAAGTGTCAATACTCTATTGATGCCTAGCAACCTATAATTTGTAAGGATTAATTTGCTAAAAGAAAACTTGAAAATCAAAAGATAGTCATTGTTCAAAAGTTCTAATCGACTTTTTTTCCATCAGTTAATAGAAGATCTAAAATTATAAAAGACTAATAACAGAGTGTTTTCATAAGCTTTCCAAATGTGAAATACACTCCTACAAACTGTTTTCCTCAAACATAAGATCTTACAAGTTGTCATCACTATCCAGAAAAGTACTCTAAACTTGTCATGACACCATCACGAATGCTTGGGAGGATTTTTTTAGTTATTCATTTTCCTTTTCGATGTCTATATAAGTTTTATTTAGTTATTCATTTCAGTTTTTTTAAGTTTATATAAGTTTATTGTGAGCAAGCTCGAACTTGGTTTGGTGTCTTCAGAAATTAGCCAGTTATATGCAACTTAGTTGGTACCCTACTGACCTAGGAATAGTCAGGGAGAAAACCATACCTTGAATCCATAAGGGACAAAACCCGTAATCCTTCAATCTACATAAATTCAATAAAAAGAGCTGATCGTCAAGTCTACAAGGATGAAAAAAAATGAGGCACTTGAATCCTTAAGGTTGATCGGGTTGATCCTTGAATCCACAGGGATCAAAAACATTAGCCCTGTTGAATCCACAAGGAGGTTGCTTGAATCAACAAGCCAAGAGGAAAAATATTATTTAGGAGATGAAAGAAAGACCATCTTGATCTCCAGTGCACACCTCCATAAGTGAAAACGAACTGAACGTCTCCTAAATAATAATATCCAAAACCAAACTTTCTAACACTAAAGGAATTCCTAAAAAAATAGGAAGCAATTATTAGCCATACGAAATAAATGTGTTTTGGCCCTCAGGGTGACAAACAACTTATTGTGCTCGTTTCACTTGTTCAAGCCTCTAACCCATATGTTTGGGCTTCTTCTGTGTCCTCCGAATCTCTTAAACATCGATCTAAAAAAACTTTAATGTTTGTAGACGTGAAAAACTATATTCTATGAGGCTTATCGACTTAGACTATCATATGTTGTGTGCAACATCTTGAATTGCCAAATTGATAAATCATCGTCTAAGAGCCATGTATTTTACAAGTGACCTAACTTATGAATTTGAGAGAATTCACATTCTACTCATGAGGTTAGGATCACGGATTTTTTTTAAAAATTAAAGGCATGTCTTTCAGCCCTTTTGCAAGACTTAGGGAGCACTCAAAAAAGTAGTGAAGAGACATTATCCAAGTAAGTTTCTGACCACTAAAAGTTTCTAAAGGTCCTCAAAATACGTGTCATGACTTTTTAAATTAACATGTATGAAGTAAATAGAGTAATTATGCCAAATCGATCTTGTAATAACATGATGTGAATAGATAACAGCACTTGTGTGTAATGGTAGATTCATCATCGTGTAAGGCACTTACACGCTAATTACACAAATTGGCAGTGCCCTTGTCACCAGACAACTTTGTGTGCCACTTGCTGCATAAAAAAAAACCCCAAGTTTTCTGGGAAGCCAACTATTGTTGTCAAGGTGACTCCCAACTTTCTCTGTAAGCACTGTGTTTGACTAGATATTCAGAATATTTTGGTGTCCTGTACATCTAGAATCGGCCAACCCCCCTAGACAGAATTCTATTTTCCCAAGATTGTATCACCATACCCATTTATTTTGCAGTCCAGGAGACATGCAGGTTTTGAGACACCATAGTGTAATCATAGATTTGGGTGGCTTCTGATAACCTGTGACAGAATCATGCAAGATGGTTTTTGATAACTATAGACTATGATTGTGTCACCTGTAAACAATGGGGTGTCCCTCTATATTCCAATATTCAGGCCATATTGAACCACCCATATTGTCTCTAACACTAAGGTTGGATCTGATGTGGCAAGTCAGATGTTGTCCGAGGGTATTGATTCGTGTAGGCCCCACTATTGTTAGGAACTTGAGAAGCGTGATTCTCCATGGCTGTAGAGATCTGGTTCTTGACCGGAGTCAGACCATGCTATTATTAGACCGTGTGGCAGCTTCATGAGAACGTAATGCATCTTCAAGTTACAAACATAACTTCAAGATGGCGATTCTGTTGTTCGTCACATACCTTAGCATCCAACATCAAATAATGTTATTCAAATCGTGCATATGACACTGATTTCTCACCAAAGTTAAAACATTTATTTAGATTATAATCTCCTGCACATCTGCACATTTATTACTTTTGCATACATTATACAAACTTTTGGGGTGCGGATTTTCTCTGTTAGGGGAAACCCCCCCATTTATTTCAAGATACTATTATATGAAAATAGTCTTCAACTAAATACTATTTTTGAACAGTAACGTTGCAATCAGGTAATATGGCATCAATAGACTTACCAAAATTGAGTTCTGAAGTTACATTTCCAATAGCATGAAGAAGACCAATCGTCCCACAAGCATTTCCGACAGTTTGTTTCAAGAAATATATTTTCTCACTAGGTTTCTGAAATAAATGGCTAGGTTATTGCAACATCCAAGATATTGATACCAATAACTGTCAAAAAATGAAAAAAAATTATAAAGATCGTGATTAAATAAAATGTTAAGCCAAAAGAGTGTTAACAGTAATGGGAGCAAAACCATCATATTTGAGTGCTTCTTTCTCAACGATGTTTTATTAGAGCAGACTGGGGGCCTCTTCAACCTAAGAGTTAACTTGCATCCGTGCAAGTCCAAAAATGAGGGGATCACAGTACTACCCAGGATTCTTAAAATAGAACCAAACGTGACACTTGCTATGAATAAAATGTCCTAAGCACAGGTCTTGAACTAGTGATAGGCCTGGATACATAGGATCAGCAATCGACAAGCTACACCAAGAATAGAAGATTCATAAATCAGGCAGCAAAGACTCATTTCTTGTAGCATGATTGATCTTAAGGGCTTGTTTGCAGTTTCCAAAATTTCCCAGGAATCCAAATCCCTGAAGATCAGAAGGAAGATGATCCAAAGAATTATGTCGGTCTTTTAGTCAATCAGAAACCCAAATCATGGTCTGGGCTTCGCTAGTGTTGTGTCTCCACCACAGGTGGCGTGATGCAACTGATTACCAAATAAAAAGCAATAAACCAAGTATACAGCCTAGTTTCGTCTGTGTTACATGCCCAGAGGGGAACTAGGAGGCCATACCATGAAATGATATATCATTCAACTTTACCAAGACATCGTATACCGCTAAAAGAGCGGGAATAATTCAGCAGAAACTATCAACCTATGGCTTCATGACAATAGGCCATCCATTCTGACATCATTAATCTTCAGTGCCTCATTTTGGACGTATCTGCCCTACCTGCTATCGTCATTTAACCAGTTTCATCAGGACAGTTTTACCTACCACTCACTGTTCTTTACTCTTGCCACAGTGGTTCTATGATTTCACTACTGCCTATAAATAAAAAACTCTAATGAATATTTAATAAACTGAGCACGATAATAACCAATCAATAATTACTAAACCACACAAATGCTGTCAAACAATCACTACCAAGATTTATCAAAAACTGTCCACATTAGAATGTTTGCGTGTAAAAAGAAGGCCATCTCGCTTTACATAGTTTAGACATTCTGAATACGAGCTACTTTTAGTTTTTATTCGAGAGTCAGCAATTTAATCCAAAAAATATAAAAGCCATTCAAGAATTATTAAAAGCTGCATCAGAATAAATCGAAATCTTGATAAAATCCAGATAACAGTTAAGAATTGCCAAGGTACATGAGAAAAAACATTTAAACAGTGGAGTAGCAGTATACTCCGTCAAAAAATAGAAACTAAATAAATTATTAGTCAACTTCACATCAGTCATCGTTAATGTCAACAAGAAAATACCCATCGTACAATCTTAAAGGTGTTGGATTTTTAGACTGGACAGAAAACTCAGGATGATGAAAAATTGACAACAGAAATTAAAGAGCACACATCACAGGGGGAATACACAAACTTTTGCAGTGGTTAAATCAATCCCAGACCAACTCCACTCCCCAAGCCTCTTTAAGAGTATTTTCAGTAGGTTTCTCTCAAATTTGTATAATAACTTTTTTCAAGATACCAATCAAAACTTATATATCCATGTTCGCTTTCTTATGATACCACCAAAAGCCTTTCAAGCCTCGTTCAAGAGCAAGCTTAAACAAGAAAGGAGAGATCAAATACAACACTGACAACTTATTTATAGATGAGGATGTTGTGGCATGCTCAAAGTGCTTACTAAGATGCTGGATGATTTTAAAATATCATGAGCTTGAAGATGCTTCTAAGCCTAAAAGTTTGATTCGTGGAAGCTCGATAATCTCTCATCTTTCATAACATTTTGAAGCCAAAGATCCTCGTCTTGTGGTTACAAAGGCTGATCCTATTTCCATAAAATGGCCTAATTTGCAGCGTTTCTTGACTTCCCATTTTAAGCAAAACAGTCATTGAAAAAAGCAGAGAGTGAGCTTTAAAAATATGTGGTTGACCTTTTAGAGCAATAGCATTTTAAGGAGTCAACCCTCAACATTCTTCTTCACCCATCTTCCATAGAGGTTGACATCATAGTCAGTCCTCACCATGGACAAGTCAACTCCCCTTAGAAAACATGTTTTTATTTTTTACATGGGTCAATTTAAAAATATATGGATCTTTGTTACTAATGGGGGGTCAGGGTCGACTTAGATCAACCCTTCTTCTAAGATTTTTTGCATTCATGAAAGCTTGACTTCTAAATATATTATGTACAACTTTGGGGTATCGATACTTATCATATTGTTTCCGTTTTTGGTCATTATTGTGTAGAAAAAACTTCTATCATTTAACTAAAAAACAACGAAAAGATCAAAATAAGTTAGAGTAAAAGCTCAAGTTTTGTAATTATCCACCCATTAGGTTGAACAAAATGAAATTACACATGAGACATATAGTCATCAAACCAAACGAGAATAAATAAATTCACTTCATTTTTGTGCTTAACAAGATATAACACAAAATGCAAAAATGGAGAAGGCCATAATCAACAATGTCACTGAAGACCAACCCCATCATAAAAAATTCAAACGTACTGCCCATCTGGCGGGATTAATTGGCATCTTGTGGGATTAATTTGGAGTAAGCTAAAAATTATAGTAATTACAAACACAGCAAAGAGGGCTGAGAATTGGCTAAAATTAGCCCCATAAAGCAACACTTGAAATTGAGGCTTCAAAAATAGGTAATAGAAACTGCGAGAAATATAACAATTGCAGATTGCATAGGATCTCATAGGATCCTATACCCCTCATATTCTTGGAGGATCCCATAAAATATCTCGGAGGTATTATCCTCAGTTTCTGGAGTTACTGATCGCAAGTTTCTATGCCTCTTCACCCTGATAAGACTCCTCTGGGTGACGTTTTGCAAAATTTTCAAGATTCAGTTTTTTTTTAAGAAAACGTGAGCTTCCATTCAACAATCTCCGTGATCAGGACTGTAGGTAACTTTACTGATAGCAATCTTTAAACAACAGCAAACCCAATCCCAACCAGGGTTATGAGGAGATAATCACATATGCATTGGTATTTCACCACTCCAATGTTGGAGCGAAGGGTTTTCTGTTACAAAATGATTTGAATATTACGATAAGTCAAAATATTTCTCCAAGTTTCGTCCAGGACAACCATTGCAAGTGTTAGAATGACCTATGCTAAGAGAGTTGTCAAATGTTAAATATGAGATGGTCAAATTGAAAGGTAAAATACAAAGAGAATCTAAAAAATATAATCACTGTCTGACAAAGTCATCTAAGTTGATAAGTTTATAGATTGATTTGAGATTGCCCAAGTCTCTGTATGCTGGTAAGTGAAAAATTCACATCACAAGACTGATGGATAAGAAATTTCCACATGTAACCAGCATTAGACTTAAAACAGATTATGAATTTACAAATTTGAAAAAAAAAAAAAAACAGGAAGAATAGTTTGGAGAACAAGCTAACGTATGCACATCAAGGAGGATGGAAGATGAATCCAAGAGAAAGAATTTACGACATGAAAATTCACCTTCTATGGCATCACCTCAAGAATGAGCAATCAAAGAGAACATTAAAAAAAAACGAATGCGCGGAGGTATCCAAACTACACCACAATCCATGGCCAATGATCGCGACATCACCTTGCTTGCCATGAGAAACGAATACTTCAAATGAAATATAATGGCTCTTAATTTACAACGGACGGAGATATATGGGATCATTAGAGTTTCCATCCGATTACCTTGATGTTCACCTGTTGCGACCTCTCCTTCTCTAAAAGCCTCTCAGTTTCAACCTGCATCACGCAAACAAAAGGAAATTGTACAGAGTTCCCAGATCTCGAGAAAAAGGAGGGATCATGCCGCCTGATCGTCCCAAGGACGACGGTGAGTTTCCAATTTCTCAAGAAAAAGGACCGAACGTATCACCTTTTCGTCACAAGGGAAGAGAAAGAGTACGGCGAGCACGGGCGTGGGGACCATCGCCAGGAGCTCGTCGTCCAGGCCATAGACGTCGCACAGCTCCGCCTCCTCTTCCCGGAGTCCTAGCCTCCAGAGGTACTGGAGCGACATCGTAGTCGACAGAATGCAAGAAGTAGATGAAGAAGAAGACATGCAAACCCAGAGGCATACACGGCCAGGATTGTGCAAAGACGGTGCGCGCGAGCGAGAGAAGATACCTGGTTCATGACTTCGGGGTTGGCTTCGAGGGGAAGCCACCGCTTCTTCTCTCTCGTCGTCGACGCCATTTCTGCTCGCCCTTCGTGTCCGGAGGAAGTCCACTTGGGAGCGAAAACCCCGAAAAGGAGGCGACAAGGAGAGCGCCAGGAACAGAATATACGGGAAAGCCGCAAGAGAAAGCTCGAGACGGCAAGCGTCCAAAGAGGTTAACGGCCTGGGGGGCTGCGATTTCCCTACCCTGATGGATTTTAAAGGGCCGGGCCAGATTTGGCACAGAAATCATGTTCTTTCTCAATACGAATATTCATCAGAAAGTGTTTTAGATTGTACATCATCACGATATTTGGTAAGCATTCGTGTCATCTGGCACCGCTACCCTATGGCCTCTGAGAATACCTTCAAATATGGCTTTTTTCTACCGTTGTCGTAGAACAGAATGTCCCCAGTAGGGATGGTGGCGATGATGTCATCATGAGAGAGATGGCGATGCTTCAATGTAAGGGGGGAGGGGTGTTAGTAGGGTTGGTGGTCGAGCTCATCCTCCTCCGTTGGGTGGGGTATTTGTCACAAGCTCTTCAGCTCAAGAACCTCTTCCCCACTTGGTACATGAAGATGAAGCTTATCAGACCTCTGCTTGCAGTGCCCCGGAGATTAAAAAATAAAGTGTAATGCCACTTTATGACATGAAGAAGAAAAGCTTATGATCTTGAGACCCAAGTGACTGAAAGATGTTAAAACGCGGACAATCATGATGGTTTTAAGGCCCCCCAAAACACATCCAAGCCCATAGTTCATGTCAAGAATGCATCAAATTGTGTGTAACCGGCCAATCATTCTGCTCTGATTATTCTACCACGTTATGTTGTTTTCTTAGATGATCATTCATTGCTTTTGTTATTACTGTTTGACATCAAGAAAGGAGCGCTAGAAGAACACTGCCCCTCTTTCAAGATCCTTCTTTACTTATTGATCGAAATAATTACTGTTGTTGATTCCGATTCAAAGATCATTTTTTTTTCATTTTCTCCAACTTCCATCTCTTATCACTCGGCATGTAATAATAATAATAATAATAATCAAAAGCGTACGATAAGAGTTAATTCCTTGTTTCAACAAAAAAGAAAAGAAAGTGAAGGCAATAAATTGCACCGCCATCGTCTCAACATTGATAACTGGTGGGTTCTCACCACCAATCATCTTTCAGTAGCAATTCTCTATTATCACCATCGATAATTGTTGATAATGTAAAATCCATAATTGTTGAGGTTATTACTATCGATGAGAAAATGATAAATGTTATTTAAAATTCTTAATTAATCATTTTCAACAGAAATAGATAATAACTCTGCAAGTATCACCATTTAACCATGTGAGTGTGTGTCAAAGAAGTTTAGTTAGTTAATTTTCGACTCTTCAGGCCAGTCTGTTCTTAGGAGGCGCGCGGCCATGAGCTCATTCTGCATGAAAGGTGAGATGGCGCAGTCGTTCAAGAACTCAATTCGGCCGATCCAAAGACGACTCGGCCGAGTCAGTATAACCCGGATTGATTTGAAAGTTCGCGCGCCCTTTTCCCGCTTCTTTATCTCCTTATTCCGCTACCTATCCTTTTTTCCTGCCCAGGGTTCCCCTTTTCTCCGACGATCAAGACGCCGCCGTCGTTGGGGTTGGGTTGCCAGTCGGAGAGGTGGAGAGGAAGGGGACGGCATGAGCGACCACCCACCTGCGTCTCCTGCTCCTGTAGGCGCGCATGCCAACATCGGCAGGGCCATCTGCCCCATTTGCTATGAAGACCTCAAGCCCGTCGTTGAGGACCTCCAGTCCATCTCCGTCTGTGGCCATGTCTTCCACGAGCTCTGGTGATCATCCCTAGTCCACTATTTTTCAGAGCACCCCTTTGAGTTTCTAGTCTCTTTGCGGCCAAATGTGTCAGACCAGTCTAATAATTATTTGATTTTGCTGGAGGAAGCCTTCAGCAGTGGCAGGAGTACTGTCCGGCGGGGAAGAAGTGCACATGCCCTGTCTGCAAGCAGTCCTACATTCCCAGAGATGTCACCCGTCTCTTCTTCCAATCTACCGGTGGTTCCGGGCACAACTGTCCCTCTTTCTGCACGCAGAAGACTCTGTCAGAAGCCGAAGCTGAGACATTGAGCTCAGAAATTAAGAAGTTGCAGGGGAAGCTTTCTGCTGTGGGATCTGCCTTGGATGCCCAGAAGCAGCATGTTGGCGAGCTAAACAGTGAGGTTGGAGAACGCTAGTTTCTCCTACAGTGAACTAAACTGTGGTTTCTAATGTTTGTGTTATATGGTCCGTTATGTTTTCTCGGATATATTACTTCTAACAGGTTTTCAAATTCTCTTTCCGGCTATCTTAAAAGGTCCGATTCTGCTGCGTTGTTCCAGATTTTGGTGTGGAAGAGTCGGGCAAAGAGGGAAGAGGAGATGAAAACTGAACACCAGAAAGAGAAAGAAATTATCCGCCATTTGCTTCAGATAAAAGAGGCTGTAAGGATTTTTTCTAGTGGTTAGATGGAATATCTTATTTTTGGGCGAACTATCCATAACTGTGTTCCTAACGAGGATATGTTTCAGGATCTACGTAAAACTTCTGAGGAGTGCTTAAGGGTTAAAGAAAAGAGCTTGGCTCTCGCTAAGGAGCTTGCTGCATTAAAGCTGTGAGTCTGATTGTAAGCCACATGCTTAGAAAAAGATCCTCATACATTTACTGATCAAATATTTTTTAAATTAGGGCCATGGATGTGAACCTGGGGGAAGAAGAGGTAGCCAAACTTATAACCATTGGTCAGGGGACACACAATGATGCAATTGATGTACTGCAAAGGTCTCTCCTCCTTCGTAACAAGTAAGTCTGCAATGACAATCAGTGCCTGTTAAAATATTAAAACTTTTATATCTCGTTGTTCTTCATCTTTTTTCTTCTCATTTTCCTTTTCTTTGCTGTTCGAGCACTTTTTTAACTGGTTCACAGTTGGTTGACTACACTGATGAGTTCCCTAGTTTCCATTTCCACAACAAAATTATTCCTGTGGTTGTAAAAAAGGATGAAACGATACAGCTCTCATACACGACTGAGGGAAGCTTTATACTTGTGTATCATTTTCTCAAGAAATTCGACACGTCATTTCAAAGTGTGAATACTTTATGGCGAAATCCTAAATATAGTTCTATTGCTCAGATGCTTCTTACTGTTTCGATTCAAGCCCCCCCCCCCCCCCCCTCTATTGTTTCCATGTTAATGGCTTTCTGTCTTAAAAAAGTTTGATTTCAGCTTTTGCACAGTTTAACTAAACGCTCCCTTGTTTGGAGTATATCAGGTGAGAGTCTTTCCTTCCGACTAACCTATCTTAGTCTTTTAACCTGACCCATCTAGGTTCACATTCAGTGAGATTGTTCTTTTTATAATGTGATGAGACATACCCGGGAAAAGATAAAATAGGAGAAATCCCTGGAGGCATAGGCATAGACGGAGAAAGCAGAAGCATAGGGGGAGGTTGAAGCAGTAGCAAAGAGGGGATTGAATGAGGGATGCATCTTCTCTTCTGAACTGCTTGAGAGCTGGAAGATTAGGATATCCCGACTTCATATTCTAATACCCGCTTTTAAAGGAGAGTCTCGTGGCTCTATTTTTAGAAAATGAGGAATGAGGAACGGCGGGAGATACAGAATAGAATCTTTCTTTCTGAAGCTGGATACTGTCCGCGGATTCATGTTCTATGGCATTCATTATCTACTGAAGAATGCAAGAGAATGGCATTATGACACAACCAAACTTTCACGATTCAAGTGTGTTCCAGAGGCGACTGTACCTGATGCTAAATAGAAATCGACATTTTCACTCACGTTAATGACATATTCAGTACCGCTTGACTGTAGTCAAGTGATTAAAAGTTTACTGAGATTATTGGACCATAATAGCACATTGGAAGTCTAAATGTCAATCATCTGTCCTTCTGATTAATGGGTTTAAATATGGCCTTTCTACACTATGAGGTTTTGGCTACATGAGCAGTATAAAAATTATCCTCTGGTCCATGATATGTTACCTGATGTCATCTTTTACTTTTCCGCAGTGCCAATTCAACTTAATTTATGTCATTTCTTTAGAAATTATTAGAATTGAATTTTGTTTGAGTAATGAATTGGCTTCTGGCTATCCATGACATGGCATTGGATCAAACGTAGATCGTTAATCTTTGCCCTATTCAATGCAGACGTGTATCCAATTGATCCGGGTACCCAGTCTGCCTCTGCAGGTGTCTTTCAGACCTAGACATTGGCAACATTTTGTTCATGCTTTGCTAGAGTCTGCTATCCGTGTTGTACTAGTTTTTCATTCGGCAAAAGTAAAAAATGGACAGAAAAACCTATACTTACGTTTTTAACGCCTGTGACAAAGAAAATTTAACCAAAGGTTAGGGATGCCAAGAAAATTAAACCATGCCAGCAGATGTGCTTGAACCAATTATAAGGTCATGAACTTTTACATAGTTCGTCACTTCCGTGGATATAAGTTAATTCTTTGAACTACCTTTTGGCTGCATACTTGGTGTTGATAAAAATAATTCTGTTGCAGGTATGACTGTTTCACAGCATCATCAGTTAAAGTTTCCAAATCTACTAGATCCTGTGACAGTTGATAATTTCTACAGATTCTTAATCCTAGTTGACTGTGTTTGGTTCTGCTCATACATGAGTTAAACCATATTGCCGTTGATATTGTTATTTAAATATGCCACTTTTGATGGCTAATGAACTGAAAATAGGGGTAATAAGATGTAGGTTTATTGAACATGATACTATAGCCGCGTCTGATGGCTAATGTGCCACGTCTTAGCTCTGTCCTCTTTGTTACTAGCTGATTGGGATGTTTGGTCTCTTTTTTGTGGTCTCAGTGAGACGTGGGAAAATTGCAACTCTTCCATTTCGTATCAAAAAACTTTCCGTGCATCCGAAGAAAAAATGGAATCTGTGCCGTGCTGTTTATTCACATTGGGAATTTTTTGGGTAGCTTTCACTGTCTCCCAGCCCCGTCCTCTGAGCTTTTAAATGGATATTTGGATAAGCAATTTCTGTTGTGCTTGGAGGACACCAAGTGTGTACTAAATATGGAATTGAAATCAGCTTAGTTGACAATTGAAAGAAATTAATTGAATTTATGTTATGTAGATCTAAAAGGAAATGTTTCTGTCCAACGGGAATTATTTTTCGATCTATTCAAGCGCTTTGTCTTAGATTCCAATCTTTGGCATTCTCTGTCTCGCCTCATCACTTCATGGGCATCGTTCAAAGGTAACTTGTTTTAGCAGCTGAGGAAGGTTTCTTTCCTTCTTGGATCGATGTCACTTAATACTTATTTTGATGGGACACCATTGTTGTAATGTCTGCAACTATGCCATTGACCTACTTCTGATACCTTTAAAAGGTTGCCGGCAAAATTTACTGATCTTAGAGCCACATTTTCGTTCCTTCTTGGATCGATGTCACTTAGCACTTATTTTGGATGGGACAGCAATGTTGTAATGTCTGCAACTGTGCCACGGACCTACTTCTGATACTTTTAAATGTTGCCGGTAAAATTTACTGATCTTAGAGCCCCATTTGGTTAATGTATGCACGCTTCTGGACAATACATTGGATATTGCATTATCATTATACAGATACTTTTTTTGTACCTTCGGTAAAATGTCATTTTCTGGTCAGGGATTGATGGTGTTAAAGGTGCATTCCCTGTGGATGTTGACTCAAACTTGGGACGATTTTGTAGGTGTTACAAAGAACTGATGATCCAGTGCAATCTTCTGGGCAGGGCAGAGACACGTTCTCTTAAGAAGCTTGAGAAGTCTGAAGAAAAGATAAAGATGCTGAAAGTGAGTACTTCTGGAGATTTTGTTCTTTGGTGATTATGGAAACACTTTTCTGGATCCTAATTCGTACGTTGTATCAGATACGCTTACAAGAACTGGAAAAGGCTGTCGAGAAGAAAGATAGTGAAATATTGAGGGTTATGAAGGTTTCAAAAGAGAAAATTGCTGAACAGGCAGATCTTGAAAGTTCCAAGCAGAACAGTAACTACCCATATCTGGATGGATACTTTTACTCCTCGGAAGTTGAACCAGATGATTCTGTAACGGAATCGTTTTTGTGTCCTTCAAATCCCCACAGAAATGTATTTCAGCTCATCTGCTGAACAGAATTGTTTTTTGATGCTACGAAGAAATGACGATAATATTATTCATGCTGCCTTTTGAGATACAACTTATGCTCCTTTATTTCAGGATAAGGCTGAATGTCTTGTCCTTGAAATTTTCAGGTGGCTAAAGCTTGCAAGGATGCATCTCCTATGAGGTCCATTTCTGGAATGGAGGGTTCCTCGCATCAACTAATGGGTACACATCAACATAAAGTTTTTGGCAGCGTGCTCCCCAGATCGAGTGCATGCACTACAAAAGATGGGGGCAATAAATTGGATGCCGCTGGGGATGAGAGTCTGCCTGACATAATTAATACAGTCTCAGCAGTAAATTTTATGGATGTCGATGAGAACTTTATGCTGCCAACTTTGATCCCACGTACAACAATAAAGTCTTCAGTAGATTATTCTAATGTTGTCTCAGGTGAGTTTCCTTTTTGCAAACCTTGGATTACTATGTTACAAATTACTTGTGATGCAAAAAAGAAAAGAAAAAATCGTAGGGGGGAAGACTGACTAGATATCTGGATACGATTTTTATATCATTTTTTATGTTGGATGAAGCAATAGTTCTAGTCAGTTCCCAGAAATATTTAAAATTGAACTTTGAATCCATGAGCAGACGCTGTTATGTAATTTATCCTGTGAAACCAAATTGCATCCATAACATCCGTGGGGGTACGGGGTATGAAAATGCGTTTTCATCATGTATTATTCTTCCTTTTTTTTTTTTTTTTTTGCTTGCTATAATCATCGGCATGACACTGCAACAGTATTATTATCATTCACTGTTCGTATGGAATGAGGATCCGTGCCATGTGGCTGCTGTCTTAGTGTTTGTTACCTTCTCTGACCTGATCTAATTCTCTCTTCTCCCATTCACTGTTCATCTTAGATCCGCCTCCTTTACCCACCAGCCTCATTGGCACGGAGAACGGTAGAAAGCATGCCAAATGGTGCAGGAATGTGACAAAGGTGAACCCATCAATGGAAACGCCAAAACGCTGCGGAGAATTGATCGCCCTTGGAGCTGATGGGCGAGGTGGTACAATTAAAGTCCTGAGAGCTCTCAACAAGTTTCGAGTAGGTTCCGCCCCTTGTCTGTCACTCACTCATTCACGTAGCGCATACCTTGAATGTCAGCTGACCATTGCTGCACCGCACCCCCCTTGTATCAGTGATTAAGTTACTCGGGTGGCTTCTTCCGTTCATCCTTGTGATATCTCTCACCAGCAGATGATCTCCATTGGTGCGCAGATACAGGACAGGAGGGCGCGCACACTTGTGACCAAGAAATGCAAGCACGGAAGGGTGCAGGCCATCCAGGCTCAAGAAGGCTGCTTGGGTATCGAGAAATACTTTGGAAAGACGGGGAGCTAGTTTCCGGAGCAGCTGACTAGTAGTGCCTTCTCTCAGTCTCCGAGGACGTCACACTCTGTACCATCTGCGCTGTACTAATTGGGTCCAAGAGACCGTTGTCTTGGTTTCGGTTGGGTCGGATATTGGGTCCAGTCCGTAAGAGATCCGATCTACAGTGTCAGCCCATTACTGATGCTATTTTTAAGATGAGAGGCCGGGTCCACTGCAAGAAAACTCCCTCTCTCGCTCTGTCTGTTCAATGGCGGCATCTGATTTTCCGTCTATCCGCGTCTCTATCTATCCTCCGTGGCGTCATCGAGGCCGTCGTTGGCCTCTCCGCCGCTTCACCACAACAGCAAACGGTTCCCTCGGAGGAAAACTCCTCCCCCCGCGTTGACGATATACCTCTCCCTTCTCCACGGTGTCTTCCTTTCTCTCTCTCTCCCAACCCCCCCCGCGTCTCTCTGTCTGAGGGGAGAAATGAGGGGATCGGAAGATGTGCGAGTATAACATCGGGGCCTGGACAGCGGAAGGAAGGGGCTCACGGGAGGGGGTTGGGTTGGGTGGAGGGCGAATCGGGTGCGATCCCCAGAAGGCGGCAATGTCAGAGGCAGAGAGGAAGGCGACGCCCGAGGAGGATGAGCGACAGATAGGAAAAGACGTCGGCGGAGATGTGTCGGTCGGAGGAGAGGCCGAAACTGTGGATGACGAGGAGGTGACCGCGATATTCTACAAGACGAAGGTAGTGGAGTTCCTTGGGCGTTCATCCCAGATCATCCTTCAGAACGACAACGGACCTTGCCCTCTCCTTGCCATCTGTACGTGGCTCTCTGTCTCTCCGTCTTTTCTCCTGGCGCGTATTCTCTTCGATCTGGAGATATTTCCTTGTTATCGGTTAGGGCCATCTTTCGCTTCTTCAAGCCGCCCTTGGTGTATGTTGTTTGGCGGTTGGATTTGAATTCGGGAACCGTAAAAGATGGAAAGGAGTTATATTGTCATGCCTAGGGTTTAGGAATTGGAAATTCTGATTTGCTTCACCGATCCTTTCCTTGTAAATCTATTTGGGCATTTCTCGGCTCAGACTTTTGATGTGCGGAGCAGGTAATGTTCTGCTGCTGCGTAATGTCATCGACTTGAGTTTGGACATTTCCGAGGTCTCACAGCAAAAGCTGCTCTCCCTTGTTGCGGAAAGATTGCTGGATTCTAATAGCAACTTGGAGGTCCTTGTTCCAGATATTTTCTTATGAACCGCTTAAGACTGAAAACGGCTGTTTAAACCATTGGCTTCTTTTTTCTATTTCAGGGAAAAGATGAAGATTATGTTAGCAATCAACAGAGGAACATTTCTGATGCAATTGACCTTCTCCCTTGTCTTGCCCGTGGAATCGATGTGAACGTTCTGTTCAGAAAGTATGTTCCCAAAGAAAGTCTTTCTTGTTTATTTGTTTTTCCCGCAAGAAAGTCTTTCTTGCGGCACTCATATGAGTATTTTTGGTTTATTTTTCTATTTTCTCAGTGTTCTTCGAACCTCATCCCTTGTTTCTCGTTAATTTAAATTGTAGGATTGATGATTTTGAGTTTACTCCGGAGTGTGCTATATTTGATCTACTTGATATCGGGCTATACCACGGATGGATAGTTGACCCTCAGGTATGCATTCTGACATGCAAATATAAAATGTTTCACTCTAGCTTATTTTCTTATCTGTTTCTCCTTGATGTCTTTCTTATCCGTTTCCCATCGTATATTATGCTGTGTTTGCTTATTGAATTTATCTCTTTTTACTGTTAGTCAACAGAAAGTAATTTTAGCTAAATTTTTTTGTACCGTCATATTTACACTAAAGCGTTATGTATATACTGGGGTGAATCAGGAAATGTTATGTCTGAGTATGTGTATCTTTAAATTCATCTTTTAATCCCACTGCCTTCAGTTTTCGGTGACATTACAACATAATTGCTGAACAGTGGCGTCTTTGCTTGATGTGTTTGTTTGCAACTCTGGCATCCTCTTTACATTTATTCTTTCCGAGGTGGTTTACTCACTTTTTTGTCGGATAATTTACACCTGGATTCTTTGATGCTGACAAAACAGACCTTCATACTAGAAACACTGTTGAAATAGTCAAAAGATGGATGGATAATATGGTAATAGATAGGGCGTCATTGACATGGGGATAAAACTTTGAGGTGACAGGCACAGCATGTAGGCAAGTTGAACAACTGTGAAAAGGAATCGACAGAAGGCTTTTCTCTCTGCAATGCCCACACAACATAAACTCGTCTAGCTAGGCAAGGTCACGGAATCCTTGATGGCATCAGATATTAGAATATTCTAAGGCTAGACAATCGAGGAAGTATTTTAATTGAGAGGAACTCCAGATCGAAAGTGCAGCATAACTCCATCATGATGGAAAGACAAATTAGTGTACTCAAATACGAGATTGAGGCAGTAATTAAGCCAGATAAATCTCATTCTGGGGTTTCAGATATTGCAATCTCCCTCAGTTTCCATGGGTCGGAAAAAGCTCTACCGAAAAAAGAAAAAACGAGATATGATTGCGACAACATCATCAGTTTGCAAAAGAGGCTCCATTATTTTTGAAATATGAAAGGGTTTCATTTATCATAACCCTACTCCAGGTTGATAAGATGAAGGAGAGCAGACTCATAATATGGTTTTGCTGTTGTTATAGAAGCTGGGAGTCATAATTTGGGATATTATATTCATTTTATAATCAGTGTGGTTAACCATTTTTTCTAGCTGGACGGAGGTTGAAAGTGTATAATCCTGTTTGGATGGGGCATGGTACTTTTCATCATCATAGACAACATCAATATCTACAAAATCCCAATTTTCCTTGCCTATCTGATGTTGTATCTTTTCTGTGATTTTTAAGACTGTCAACAAAATTAATGACAATTGTGTCAGAAGTTACTGTTGACAGTCTTATTTTTGTTGAACTATTAAAAATGGCTTTGAGGTGTTTATTCCCTATTTCCTCTAACACTATCAATTTTCTCGTTGACATATTTGAGGCCCATCTGTAAAGTCATTCTTATTGCAATTTCGATAGATTTAGGGTACAGTGTTTCTTACTTGCCTCTGCCACAGTCAAGATTGAATGAGTCCGACTAAAAGCAAAATATCCCTACTCTCTTATGACTGTCTAGTGTAACGTGCGCACTTCTGATTTGATCTTTTATCTCTTGCAATATTATTGTGTGTTTGATATAGGATATGGAAACAGCAAATGCTATTGGATCGAAGTCCTACAATGCTCTTGTTGGAGAACTCGTTGCGCTTGACACGAGGAGTCCCAAGGAAGATAAGTACCTTCCTGAAGACGACTCTGTGGATTTTGCTGCTGCAGCAACTGCTGCTCTTGGAGTTCCCTCCCCATGTCTTTCAAGAAGTTTATCGTGCAATGATCCTCAGATTTTGGTTTTAGGTGACCACAGAATAGGAAGAGGGGATTTAGAAGAAGAAGAAGAACTGATGAGAGTCTTGAAATTGTCAAGAGGTGAACAGTCAATATCTGTCACACATTCTGTAATATCAGACACAAATTCGAGTGATGCGACTGCAAGTTCAGGGGAAAACGTCATCCCCAATGATGCTCTATCTAATGTTGTTTCTGAAACGTCAACAACCCAAGTTGTCACTTCTTTGGAGTCTAATAAGCAAGAGCTTTCTGTATCCGAGGCTTTTTACAATACCCTTTATCTCGAGGATAACAACACTTGCTTGCCAACTGCTGAAATGGGGGGGGTATCCACTAGTACTACCATTGCCAGTCATCCTGGTGATTCCGAAGTTTCTGAAGGTATTTTGATTCCTTTTTACTATGTGGAACCCTTTAATGTCATATGCTATCTCAAGAGCAGATATTTTACTTAAATCCTCTTGAAACAGATAATTCTTCCTCTGATCATGCTTATGAAAGCCTTGTGAACGGGTCCATGGAAGATGGGGGCATCTCACAGAAACGTATGCTGAAGAAGTCGACTCTACATGATCTTGAAAATGCTAATAATTGTAGCGAGCATGGTTCTGAACTTTTAACTCATCAAGCTTCACCAGTGTCTGACTTGTATTGCTCTCCTGGAGGGAAGGATGCCAATGAGAGCTTCAGTTTAAATCCTAATGATATTGAGCCATTGTATGAGGGTGAAGAATGCATTCTTGGTTCTGCAATTTCAGACTACAAAAATCGTGAGCCAGTTTATGAAGGTGAGATGATTCTTGCCGAGCATGCTGAACAAGATGAAGGCTTCATCAGTGCTCGTTCCGAGGATGCAACTTCTAAACAGCAATGTAGGTCGCCAGTCACTTATGAAATTGGGATTAGATACCAATTTTCTATCGCCAATTGTAATACTATCGCAGCTTGTTCACCAACTCTGGTGTTTTTTTTCCAGGGCATTTAATAAGGAACTTTTTGAAGGACAATGCGAGCCAATTGACTGTTTACGGGTATGATTACTTATATGATTCGTAGTTGGCTTCTGCTGGCTATAATTTATTTCAGGGAATCCCCTTTTTTTTTTAACGATCCATTCTGCAGACTTTTCTGCCTTCAGGAAGGTTTGAAAGAGCGAGAACTGTGTGTCTTCTTCCGTAATAATCATTTCAGCACCATGTTCAAGGTAGTGAACGAAAGGATTCATCATGTTTCATAGATTTCCCTTTATAAACGGTAATCGCCTACAATCTTTCTTTTTTCTTATTGTTTTCAGTATAATGAGGAACTTTACCTTTTAGCCACTGACCAAGGCTATATAAGCCAGCAAAACTTAGTATGGGAAAAGTTGAATGAGGTAGGATTTCTTTCTTCACTATTTTTTTTGTTAAAATCAAAATTTTTCACTGACATCATTCTTCATCATTCTGTAAATTATTATCCCAAATGTGAAAACTGATATGGTTAATTTTCGATTTAATCTTCTTGCTTATTAGGTGAATGGTGATACAATGTTCATGAGAAGCGATTTCAAGCAATTTATGCCAGAAGTTCAAGTGAACCACTCATGGGATGAGCAAAATGGAATGAATGTGTGTCTCAGCAAATACTTGTTTTTTTACCTCTCTCCACCTATTGATACATGGATGGTTCTCATTCTAAAATTTTTCCCTGTTCAGGAATTTCTCGCAGTGGAGGGTTCAACATCAGGGAACTCAACTTTTAAGTAATTTAATACTCCATTCATACCGTATTTATTTCATCTTTTTGATAAACTATATTGTAACCATTTCCTTGGAAATATGATGTGTAAAACATTTGTCTTCTTACATGCATGGATTTCCAAGTAGTCAAATTAGTTCTGAGAAAACATCTGGGACGTAAAAGGTGACTTTAAATGACGAGAGAATCTTTGAGGTTATGATAATGGCAATCTGCCTCAATAATTTGAGAATTTCTGCTGTTGCATTGGATGGGGGGACTCGAGTGAGCTCTCCTCTTGAACTTCTGATTGATTATCTAGGTCTGTCTGTTTATAGGTTGTAGATGTTGTGGATGTGTAGATATTTTCCGTTTCATCTAATCAGTTTGGCCGTTGTTGAAAGAGCATTTGATTTTGCGATATCAATATTGATGTTGTTGCGTCATTTTGCTCATTGTCTTTTGAGCATATGAGCTACTCTTGCTGAGATAGACTTTTTTTCATTTATTCATTGATATACCAAATTTCGTGTGTGATTATAGTGAAGGGAACAATGTTTTTGCCGAGTCCTGTGTATGCTTGATCATGATTTTTTTTGTGCTTCAACTTAATATGCTTAATAATATAGTTTGCCTTTGAAAATTGTAGTGTAATGTGGAATTATTGATTGTCATCTATTTTTCTACTCGCTTAATGATTCTATAGTGATTTGGGTCCACATACTGCTTTACTTATCCATGGTTTAATCTATGAACCCATCTGATTTCTGCATCTATGTCCTACGAGATGGTTTTTTTTTTGTTTTGATAATTTTCTGTTGAAAACTATGCAGTTCTGATCACGAATTAGCTAGGGAGTTACAAAAACAGGAATTTGAAAAGCAGCCGCAGCGTCAGCAGACACCAAAAGTGCAACAATCATCTGTTTCCGGCGGTTCAAGGCTCATTATAGGTCCTCAAGTAAGTCTTCTCTAATGTTCTTGTACGGAGAAATTTTCAGCTGTCCACGAATGCCTGAAATATGTGCATCAATTATGGTAGATTCAAGTACGTTTAAGTTAAATGTGTTGTTGCAGCTTATTATTTGATGGTCTTTACGGCACTGGGATGCCATTAATTGTTGGGTGTACATGGCTCATTACTGGCTCATTTCCGAGAGCCAGCTTACCTTCCAATTTGCTAGCTTGCCACGTTCATGGTAGAGGGTTGGACGGTTTTCTAAAACTGCCTTGATGATTTCCTAGCTCCTGATTAAAGACCTTGTTCACATGATGTTGGGATATGACTCATCTAGCTCCATATATATAGCTTGGTTACCAAGTTCAGCCATCTGGGGTTCTATGTTCCTATGTTTGAGCTCTGCCTCCTATTTGCACTCCATTATATGAATTCAGAGCTACATTGACACAAGTAAACCTGAAATGAGCACCAACATCTGCTATCAGATGGCATTTCTTTTTCTTTTGTCACCTGTTGAAAGCAACCTACTCTGCCGGATCTTACTTTCTGGGTAATCGTAGTCTGTGTTACCCCACCTATTACATCATCCTCACTGGTCACTAGGATAGTGAGCTGGTCTCTATTTCTTGAGTGTCCAGAATCTGAGACTGCATTTATTTCAGCTTCGATTTGAATGTTGATGTCATGTCTTCTGTCCCTTGATCTTATCTCTCGTGTTAAAATTCCTGAAGCTTTATATTTATGCCGGACCTGACCTGACCTCTATGGTGGATGATTCTCTTTCACCAGAGCTCAAGGCACAGCTCAAATGCTTCGCAAAGGCCAGATTCAAAGTCTAAGGAGAAATGTATTGTGATGTAATATTCTGTAAATGATCTGGATTCCGCCCATCGTGTTCATAAGACGGGTTGTATATTTTTGCTCTGTGCAGCTGTAAACTCCATTTATAATAGAAAGAAAATATTTGGTAACCTATGTTGTAGTTGGTGAGGTTAGCTGCAGCCTTTTGTGGCATTGAGTTGGGAGCGCAAGGGAAATGGACTCGGATCATTGTGACTAGATCTGATCTAGTAATATCTTGGCTGACATGAGAGTTGCTACAGATCTAAGAAATGAGAAAGGCCCAAAACTTACCTAGATGGCTTGAAAACCAACAGATGTGGAGCATGACGGTTTTCAAGCTAGATAAGTATTTAAAACTTAAATCTAACTCGGCAAGTTTTGAACCGTGTAGATAAATTGTCACTTCCTCATAACTATGTTTTCCTCTTAATTAGTCTTTCTAAATGGTCTTATTTTTGGGAAATGGATAACAAAAATATTTCACAACGTTCAAACTTAGGTACCATTCCACTATGGCCTAGGACGAAACTATGCTTAAACATATTCTACACAAATAGTCATGTCATACTAACTAAAATTTTATAGGTGCAAATAAATATCCTTTATTTCTGTCATAGAAACACGAGGGCTAGATTTGAGTAGAAGGATTCAACTTACTTCAGAATAAAATAGATATTGACTAACCTAATTTTTAATAGTAGTTTTGGATGGATTAGCAAAGGTTGTAATTTGCATAAGAGAATATGAATGGCAATCAGGCCTTGAAGTTATCATGCAAGAGATTCTCAATCGTCAGGTCCATTAGGAATGATTTAAATAACCTTTGAACTGTAAAAGATCAGAATGGCACCAAAACTTATGAGCAGCGAAAGGTCTTTACAAATATATATTTTTAATTACTGATTGCCCCCAAAGAAACATATATTGCCCTTTAAATTAGCCATAATTAGTAGTTACTCTTCTAAAAATCAGACCGAAACTAATAGAAATGCAAGGGTCTAGGGGTCTTGAATACATTTTGGGCCCTGAAACTATTTTTGGGCCTTTAATACATCTTTCGGTCCACCTTTCACATTTTTGGGTTCTTTTTACTATGTAAATGACCTAGCAAATGACCAAGTCCACAAGGATTACCTAGCAAATTTAATCTCCTACCAATTGTCTTCTTCATTGTCTGGATGATGAATGCCCCCAACTTACATATCAGGAAGAAATGCAGGCAACAAGAGAGAGAGTAAATGGAAGCACACGACGGATATGCATGGTTTGAAGAATCGTCCAAAGTCAACGACCTTCTCTTTTATAATGATACCCCCCCTCCCCAACATCAAATTTCACTATGATGGGGCACTACTGCTCTTGATACCCCCTTGCTAAGGGAGTGTTGCGTATTGAAATGAACCCATCATCAACTAACCACAAAAGTTGGATTTGTGTACTTGCCGGTAGAGCTGGCTTTTGAAATGATGGATCCATAATACCTTGTAACCTGGCTTTGGCATGTAGGACTCCCTCGTACATGAAAAATCTCCAGAGGCTACTTCTAACCTCGGAGCACCTTGGACTTGATCATGAACACATTTGCATGTAACCCCTGAAGTTTAAAGATAGGACATCATAACTCAATTTAGCCCATTTCGTGTAAGATTTAGTTGCTATTATTCATCTCCTTTGTAGCTATTTTCCTCATAACTCAAAAAAAAAAAAACCACCAAGCTCTTCAAAAGCTTGCTTATTGATAACGACGAGCCTCACTTTGTGTCCATCAAAGTGTACTTTCCATACTTGTCCAACTGTTCCCACCACTTTTGTCTAGACGCGCTCTAACGATGCACCATCTGCTGTCCCACGCACAACCCTACCGCACTCATGCATGGTAATGTCTCCCCTGCCCATAAATCAAGGTAAACATAATCATTGGGAGGTCAACTTACTTCACAGATAATTTATGAAATAAACTGCATGAGAATATAATTTCAAAAATGAACTTGATCACGTCATAAATGAATAGCGAGCTAAACGAGGGGTGCTGGCCATCATCATACCGACGTCAGTTGTCCTTCCCCAGCCCCGACGGCCTTCCCAAACACCCGCGCGGAACGGCCGCGGCCATGTTCGTTCCTCCCCGGCAGTTTTCCACCGTCCCCGAGCCAAGCGGCGAAACCGCCACCTTCCCAAGACGAGGAAGGGAAGGGGAGAATAGAAGATTAAGAGAAGCCACACCTCCCGTCTGGGAAAGGCCTTTCGCTCGCCCATGGCCTGCGGGACGATGGAGCCCGTGTGCAGCCCCTCCCTATTTATAGAGTCTCCCCATTATAAAACAGACAGGCCCCTTCGCTCGCTTCCTACCGCCGAAGGAGACCGGCCTCGCAGATACAGGAATGGAGGGGGGCTCGTGGCTGCATCGACGCGCCATGGCTGGAGCCTCCCTCGCTCTCCTCCCTTTCCTTCTCTCCTTCGTCTCCCACTTGGCCTGCAGGGCCACTGCCTCCTCCAGCACCGGCTCTGCGCAACTTTTATTTAAAATCCTCAACGCCACACAAGCCTATGGTGACCCCCTCGATGGCTGGGACGCCGCCACGCTCGTCAAGTCCGTCGAACCCAGCTGGAAGCCGGGCACCGTCGGGTCCAAGGAGGGGGACTTCATCCCCAGCCTGCCCGGGCAGCCCCGAGATTCCGCTACCGTGAAGCAATATGGGGGCTATGTCGACATCGGCGACGGGGAAAAGCTCTTCTACTATTTTGTGGAGTCGTTCAGCCGCGACGCCCACAGTCTTCCTGTCCTGCTCTGGATCAACGGAGGTAAGACCATGGCGGTCGATAGTCCGATAGATGGCGATAAGTCATTAAGCATATGGGCTCCTGGTAAGTTAGTTTATATGGCACTCTAATGCAGGCCCCGGGTGCTCGTCTGTGGGAAGCGGTGCCTTCTTACAGCATGGCCCATTCTCGGTCAACGATGACGGGAAGACTCTGCGAGCTAACCCTGATGCCTGGGCGAGTGGTACGGCTCTCGATCGTTTTCATCGTAGACCGGAAGATCAATCAAAGGTAGAGAGAGGAAAAAAGTTCAATTCGTCAAACGTCTTCTGTTTGTTGTCTGAGCAGTGGCCAACATCATCTACCTCGACACGCCGGTGAACGTGGGTTTATCCTACTCCGACGACAAGGACACGGCCCTGTACGACGATACGAAGACCACGCTGGGTTGCCTCAAATTCGTCCTCGGCTGGCTGGAACGATTCCCCGAGTACAGGGCCAACCCACTTTACCTCGCTGGCGATGGCTACGCAGGCATCGTTCTTCCCCGTCTTGCCGAGCTCATCCTGGAGCACAACAACCGCGCTGGAGCGAAAGATGCCGTCGTCAACATCAAGAAGTTAATCGTATGCTACGGGCTCCCCCCATCTTTCCCTTCTATTTATCGTCTTCAACATCAACTATCTGAGAGTGTCAAATCTCTTGGGCTTTGTCTTCATAGCTCGGAAACCCGACAATAGACGCGGAGTCTGAGCTGTGGGGGGTAATAGACTTCCAATGGATCCACGGATTGGTGTCCAAAAAAACTCGTCAGGAGGTGTGGAGTAAATGCAAGGCGTCGTCGATCCGGTCGGATGTGTGCCGAGCAGAAATCCGAAAGCTCCCCCTCAACGATCAGGGCTCGGGGCCAATTTATCCGTACGATTTAAGAGCTGCCGTGTGCAACCCTGATCCGAGGCCTGGTCTCAAGGTAGTACCCTATTTTTTTTCAGACCTGTCTTTCATTCTCATTTCCCTCTATCAGAACGGCGATATTTATTTGGAGAAAGTATTCGTATGATTAACATATGAGTGAATTCTACTCAGTCCCTTTCTTTAATTAGATGATCCGATCAATTGACATAGCATGAGATTTCGGAACTTTGTGCCTTGCCTGCCCCATCTCTATCGTTCGCTCAAGACAAGAAGGTGGCAAACGCATTGTAGAATAATCTTCGTCGGCTATGAGACATCAAGCTTCCAATTAAATGATATAGACTCCACTTTCTGAATTCGGCAGTCCCCACTTTTTCAGTTCACAAAACTCGTACCACGGTGATTTCTACGTAACTTTTACTGTTCTCCCTTTCAGGTTGAAAACTATTACGAGTGTGTAGAGAGCCATGTTGCGAAGTACCTTAGCCAGAAGGAAGTTCAGCGTGCACTCCACGGTAACTCCTTCAGGATGTCAGACAAATGGATTCAGTGCAACAAGTACGTCTGTCCCTGTTCCCTCTGACTTCTTATTTAAGAACAATCGGGGTGGTTCTTCGTTCTCGTTAATGAATCTTGAAACGGATCAGAGACGTGGACTCGAAGTACCAGCTGTCGAAAAGCTCCTTAGCCATCATCAGACGTCTTGCCTCTAATGGGTTTGAAAGCTTCATATACAGGCAAGTTTCTCCCCTGAACCCGAATATAAACTAAATATTAGTTTTCGTCTTCATGGACATTGATCAAGTACAAGTACATTGCATACTGTTCTAACGAGGGGCGTCTCCTTCGTTTCCCTTTTCCTCGCCCAGTGGTGATTCCGACGCCGTGGTTCCGATGATGGGGACTAGATACGCCTTACAGGTCTTTCAACTCGATTCAGTTTCTGACTGGACTCCCTGGTTTTATGACCCAGCAACGGTAATCTATATTAACTATCTCGATGATTTCGGTTAACAACACATTCTAATTTGGATACCGATTGTTGTCAGAGGGCATAGTACTTTGTGATTATTAATAATAACATTATCCTGATTCTCTCACTGGGTCAATCTTATATGAACCTGCAGCTAGGGGGTTACACGGAAGTGTACAACAACACTGTCATCTTTGCCACGATGCGAGGAGCTGGTCACTCGCCAACTAGCAGATACCCTGAAAGAGCGCTGAATCTGTTTATACGTATGTCACGGAGTTAAAGACAAATGAGATTCACAACCATTCGAAAACAAATGAGTGTTTGAAATGAAGAAAAAGGATGCGACCTTCCCTGGGTCACTATCCCAGATGAAACTTGATGGTGCACCGTGCTGTGGGTTTATGCAAGTGCCTGCTCTTATTACGATCGTGTGATGAATGTTATCATCCATAACTGTACGTAGTATCGCATCTGCGAACATGAAGATGGTTTCCAATAAAATTATGCATTATTTCCTTCCTGGAATGTGGATGTTAACTCAAATTCGTTTGTCAGAAATGAAGTGATTCTGGCCATATGGTCACACAAAACAGTATTGTATCTTTATAAATTCAAGTGGGTCAATAATCAACATAGCTACATAATCATTTCTTTACTTAGTATTATATGCATTAGAGCCAAATATTTTCCACGATTTCTTAAATGATAATCTCTATGTTGCAGCAACTTTCACCTCTGACTGTCTGTAAACTTTGTGTCTGAACTCATTGTTGCTTTTCCTTTCTTGGCTCTAAGTGTTTTTACTTCTTACTAAAATAAATATAAAGCAATACTTATATTAAATCTAATTTTCTTGGGCTTTCCTTATGCTCTTTAAAACTTCAAATGCAACAATTGTTCTAGCTCTCAAAATTATGTTGAGCGTAACAACAAATGAAAAGACCAAAAACTTGTTGGTCAGATGACCCAAAAACCTGAAAACCTGAAGCACAAAGGTTTAAGAGCCAACAACTCGTTTAAACCAAAAAACGAACGTGGCTGACTCAAAATGCACGGATATAGCAGTATTTTCATCAAACTGTTGACTTACTTATTCCTGTTTATTTTATCTGAATCTTCTTCTAAGGAAAGGGATAACTAATTCAGCATTTTAAGAGTCCCACATATTGTAGTATCAATTTTTTTTCTTCCGTTGTATATTTTTGTATTCTCTCTCTCTCTCTCTCTCTCTCTCTCTCTCTGTCTCTATATTTTTTCATCTTTTATTGACTCAAGATGTCCTTTATGGAGTCATGAGTCGTCTGAACAATTTTAATTAATTTTTCTATTCTTTTTACTAGCTGATCCTTTTTTTTTAATGAGAAGTGTAACTAGCTTCGGTCATTTTAAAGACAAAAATTTTGGAAATAAAACATTCATTCTTTTCAATTATTGATTCTGGGAACATCATTTTATCCTTGGGCAGAGTTTTCTAACTTTCATCTTCAATTATATGCCCTATTTTTATTATTTCCTAACTTTTACTTGAACCTAGTTTCAAGACTACATTCCAAGTCTCAAATTTGTCCAAGCGCAGAGTCTGTGTTGACTGATGCAGTCAATCACAAAACATGTGCGTAGGGTATATCACTCTAGGGATGAGATCATTATAACTTAAATGCTATTTAGATCTGATAAAATAAAGGTCATTTTACGATTCCCTCATAGATTCTCAAGTGTTGACCATAAGGAATCATTTGTTACTAGTATTTGTCGGTATCAAAGGCTGCTTTGAATGAAAAGACCAGAAGAGTTCCAAATGGCAGTTTACGTCATAAGATGTCAGTCATCTGTGTCTAGATATTTTCTTGTTTAATGTGTTGAGGTAGGAAAAATTCATTTGTAAGAACTTTAAGTGAGATTCATAAGTTACAACAGCATTTGGCAATACCACCAAGAGCACTAAAATAACTTTTTGATGATTATCTTTAAAGGGTAAGATCATTATTTTATACTACAATCTAAATTGGATACCCTTCAGACTACGAGTTTCATTAGCTCTAAAATGATGTACAGTAGTTATTGAGTCTTTAATGGAATTTTTCTATGCAATTTTGTGTGCCCTAATACAAATGTTGACACATGTAAATACATGGAAAGAGAGAGGACTACCATTAATATGCAGTGAAAAATGAAAGAATTAAAACTAATAAGGGCGGGATGTCTTCATGAAAGGACCATTTATGGCCATTAAATAAATTAGAAAATCACAAAAAATCATGAAACATATGTGGATATATAGAAAAATGCATTTATGACTAATTTATAATTATCACTCACCAATTCCTATGAATTGTTGAGTGTAGGGATCTGTGAACTTGTATGAAAGTTACTTGAAAAAATAATGCAATGGAGAAAATGAACGTTTTGTCATTCTAAAATATGGTTCTTGGTCAAAGAAATGGCCTGAATTTTAGCCAATGTAAACAACTGTTGGATTGACCAAAAATAAAATAAAAAGAGTGTATCTCAGCCTACATCAGAAGATAGAAAAATAATGAAAGTTAGAGCTCCAATTATCATATTCTCCAACCAAAGAATCAACATAAGCTTAACAGTGGATTAAGCACTTAGAAGATAAAAAAATTCAACTAGTCGTCAAGCATTTACAGTGTCTTATCCATTACTTTCTTCGCATTACCAAAAAAATAATTCACATAAAGGAAGCTGAAAATATATATAAGAATTGAATTTTTCACAGCTTTTTTTATTGTTCCATTGAGTGATAAATCTACTGTAGCTTTCCAAAAGCCTTTGGGTTTAATGAACATTTTTTGAAGTCATTGTGTTCAAGGTAAATTTGCTAATGCCTTTGTTTTCACTAAATACTTATTGGAGCTGAATTAATTAGGTTTTAGTTTGTCTTTACTCAACTATTTTTATCTTATTAAGAAGTCTCTCTTTTCAAATCTTAAATTCTCTTAGATTTCTTACATATTAATCTTAAGAACTGAAAATCTTAAATTCCCATTGTTGGGTTCCACTAGATTAAATATTTAGTACACAGTTGTTGAGGGTTATGCTCCCACAAAAAATTCACCTAGATTAATGACTCCTGGTGACCCACCACTAGTTACATAGATCAGCTCTCTTGAGTGATTGAATCAGAATTTAACTACAATTTTTTTATATAAAATTAATGAGAATTTTATAATAATTGATGAAGACATTATTTTTGGAAATTAGATGAAGAGGAAATCGAAATGTACTTCATTTTGTTTCTCTTCTTCATATAGGAAACCATTTGATTAATGAATAATTTTTTGCTTCAATCAGCTTGAAGATGGTTAAGTTTTAATCAAATTTCACTCCTCGATTCAGTGTCTTCCAATTATTTGATAAAGCTTCAAAGATCACTCAATTTTGCCTATAATATCTTGAAACGTTTTTCAGAAAAGAATTATATATTGTATGGACGTCATAAATATTGTTTGGAGAGAGACTGAATTTATAGAAATTTGATTTGAAACTTTTGTTATTTTTAGTCATTTTTTCAATGCTAGTAGAAATATGAATGATTGAAAACCAATATGACAGGTCATTTAACATACATATATCAGTGAATAAGAAACTGATATATGTATCCATTAAGCACTAGCATATATACTTAATGTTGATCGGTTGAGTGTGTCATGTAAGAATTCATTATCATTAGATACAAAAATTTATTTCTCCATAAATTAATGATGTTAATCCAGATCACATGGACTAAAATACTAATATAAAGTGTCTACACGAAATGAATCAATATGAATCATCACCTAACTCTCTTCAGTACATTGACCAACCGCTTTCATATTCAGAAATTATTATTCAAATTCTTTAAGCTATCCTTTTGTTTGTCATATGAAACTATTATTGTATCTTTTTTATGTCACAAAGAATAGAAAAATTGTAAATGGAAATGGATATATTAAGGAGGGGAGCCATGAGGTTGAGGGTAGAATATGTTAAATATTAAGGGGGAGAAAGCAATTTAATTTTATGATGTTGTAATCATAAAAAAATGAGGATATGAATCTCTAAAAACCTCTAAAATATTTAGATTATTTAGAATGAAAGTTAGGAAAAATTAATAATAGTCAAAAATCTTGAAACTGGTGACATCATATCTAAAATTAAGCTTGAAGTTTGATTCATTTAGATTCATGAATTAAATACTTATATTACATAATTGTAATTCAATGGCTAAGATCTTCTTAAATCATAAGTTGAAAACTAGATTATGTGAGAAATCAAGGCTTCAAATAGATCATGGAATAATAAGGTTTGGGTTTAATACAAATATTACATGATTATCTATTTACTATCTTTTCAGACTCAACCTATTACATGCTTAAGTCAAAAGCTATTTTGTTGGAGCATTAAATGCATGATATTTTTATGACAATGATAAAAATAACATATTAATTTAAATGTAGAATTATGCTCAATTTTGCATATGCTTCGTATGAGGTTAAATGTGAAAGGTTTTTATATGGTTTAATATAATATTTAAAACGTTTGTATGAGAATTTAGTGGACAAACTTATAGTGACTAATACTAAATTGATTTATTCAATTGATTTCATTGCATGCAATCATCATGTTGTATATTGTAATGAAATAACTCTATATTTATTTAATATACCATATTGAGAAGGTAATGATTAATTTGAATCAAAAGAATCATTGAAGTAAAATACGAGTATGAAAACACACTCCATTTACTTATGTTCATGATGTTAGATTAGTACTTTTGAATGATTTTGATCTCAAATTAATCGATTGAATTTAGACCATTTATTTTGTCACACATGATTTTATAAATATTAAAAATATAGTTTGGAAAATTATTTTTTATATATCAATTTTCTTAAATCAGGAGTATAAATATTGAGATTATGATTCAAGATGTTTACTTCCTGAACATATTTTGATTTCAGATGATTTGAATAATATTGAATTAATAAATCATCATCTTATTTAGATATATATTTTCGTAACTATTTCAATAATATTAGATCTTTAACAATCTTTTATTAAAATTATACATTTATAATATATATATATATAGATAATGTTGTGTTTTAACAAAAACACATTAGTTTTGTAAGAGGATATTGAACCCTTACAAGGCGTAAGGTATTAGTTTCCCCCTTGTTTGAATATGATTGTCAATAGATGGCAAAAAATAAGAGAGTATTTCAAATCTAATTTCTCTATAAAAATAATAATTTTCTAATGATTAATGATTTTACA